AAAAAAAAAAATAGAAACATCGAAATACAATTTCTTGAGAGCAAGCCGAGGGCGAGAGCGAGGCGGTAGGATTTCCGGCGGCGGAATCTGAGAATCAACGGAAATAGCGGAGGCCGTCGCCTTCTCCGGCGGGCAAAAGCATGGATCTACAAATAGGGCAAGTAATCTGGAATTCGTCTATCCACGTATCCAAACACTCCTTGTGGAAGACATGGCAGCAATTGGAGAGCTCTCTCATCTTCTCCGATTTCTCCATTTTACTCAAGCAGATCGTACACCTTCCCTTCTCCTCTTCTTCTTCTTCTTCTTCCCAATCTTCCCAAAATTTCAGTTCCCCTTTCGCTGCAAAGTCCCCAAACTCCACAATCGGAAGGCTCTTCTTGATCCTCGCCTGGAGATCGGTCGCCGGAACCGTCACCAGCGACGGGCACAGCCCTTCCGTCACGAAAACGTAACTCGTCGGCCGGTCAACACGATCGTCGGCGTCCTCCGGTTGCTGCGGCGGCGGCTTCAGCACACCCAAATACACCCCCAGGTGCTTCAATCGACGGAAGATTCCGGTGAAGAAATGGAGGATTTGAGAGCAGCGGTGGCCGTTAATGGCGAAATAGAGGAAACCCATCAAGATTCAGGGCCAACGGAAACGGCGCTCTGCTTTTTTCTTTTTCAATAAAGAGGCGGTCTCGGTTTTGATTTGGTCCGTCCCGGAAAGGTAAAGGTTTATATAAAACCGGCAATGGAGGATTATTGAATATTTATTTCTGTAAATCATTGGTCCACTATTTTTATTATTATTATTATTATTTTGACATTTTGGACCCACTATTTCAAACTTATGGATGTTACTTCGTCAACGTTATTTGAAAATTCACATGCCTCAACAATATTAAACAAACTTATAATCTACAGCTAAAGCGAGCATAGTTCAACGATAATTAGTATATGTCTTCAATTGAGAGGCTGTGAGTTTGATCCTCGTCCCTATATGTTATGTTAAAAGAAAAATTTATAATGTATAATCATATTATTATTTTCCCTCTCTTAATTTTTTTAATTTACAAATATATCGTTAATAATAAGAGATATATGAATCTAAAAGTGATAATTAATATATGAATCTAAAGTGTTTGTAACTTTTCATCATCTCTAGGCCCTAAAAACAGATTTTTTTTCATCAATTTTTTCATCCAGAGTTTATTCTCTATTTCTCTATTTATGTTTTTAAAACATATCAAGATATTGATAGCATATTCAAGTCCCAAGAAATGTGTGTGTCGAATCTATAACATGAATTAGAGGTGTTCAAAAGTTTATGTCTTAAACAATTAAATTTCAAAAAAAGGTAATATTTAGAAATTGAGATTTAAAGGATAACAATTAAAAAAAACCAAGATTGAGAAGAAAATATTTTTTGAAAATTTTCTTCCAAACCAAAAAAATTTTCAAAAATTAAAAAGTAAATTTTGTAGATTTGGTTTCTACATAAAATTGTTTTTCCAATAAAGTAAGGTTCAAGAAAAATAATTTGTAAACTTTTTCAGAATTTTGAAATTTGACAAAAAGTTTCACTAATAAAAAAGCATTAATCTAAAAAAATTAAATAAAATAAAAAGATGCTCGCTCTAACATGGTATGATCTTATGACAACACAGAGAGGTGAATAAGGTTTACTTATCAACTTTTCCGTTTAATCAAGAGGAATTTAAGAATAACAAGCCATTGGAAAAATAAAAAATAATTTTAAATGCAGAAATTAAAGGGAGTAAAGAAGAGATTGCACCATGAAATTTTATAGTGGGTTCAGAAATTTTTACTTCAAAGATTTCTTTTTAGGATGACTTTGTTGGAGATAGGAACCAAATTGATCGCCATTCTTTTTATGTATTCGGAAGTAAACTCTCCATCGATTTTTTTTTAGGTTCAAGATCCAATCTATATCGATCTTTTTCACTTGTTCAAGATCAAACCACTTTAACAATCCTAAGGTGCATCCACACCTTAATACAAAATCCCAAATGATGAAAAATGAACTAAAGGTAAAATACACAAATTTCGCACTAAAGGAATGATTAAATAACCAATTCTAATGTATCTCTAAAAAAATGGGCATGAATGAGAAATTTGTGATTTGGAGTGAACAAAATTGAAGAAGAGAAATGTGATTTTTGCTTGATGAATCGTGTGAAACAAGATAAATTTGGTGACTTCTCATTTGAATGCTCCATGTGTCGTTATCTCACTATTGTTTTTTTTTTAATACAATATGTGGAGGCAACGAGGCAAGGTTTGAACTCATGACCTTTTTTGGTCAGAGATATGTGCATTAACCACTTGAGCTATGTTCTCTCACTATTGTTGGATGGTAAAAATCTGTCATAGGTGAAGTGTCAACTTCTATTTATGGTCAATCTATCAAGTTGGTTTTTCTCATAGACTTGTTTTGACAATAATTTTTTCTTTTGAAACCCGATTTGAGTCATTTAACGAGTGTCAGATTCGTCTTTCTGAGCTTTACACTGTGGACATTTTGAAAAACAAAAATTGTTAGTAAATAAAGTTTGTTATTATCAAAACATATGATATGGTTGAAACTCTCGTAAAGCTAACAAGTATATGGTGTGATGCTCTTTCAAGGTTATGTCGAATAGATTCTTAAAGTTGAAAATACCTAAACTTTCGAGTAATGTCTGATAGGCTCTTAAAATTTTAAAGATGTCTAATAAGTTGATGCTAAATCCATGGTTTATGATATATTTTCTAAAGTTTAAGGATTTATTAGACACAAAATCAATAAACGCTTTTTAAAGTTTGAAAATCTATTAGAAGACACAACATTGAAAGTTCTAAGATTTAATTTATTAGACACTTTTTAAAGTTTAGAACCTACTAAAATACAATTTTGAAAGTTTCGAGAATCAAACTTTAGACTATCAACAAATCACGAGTATTGTAGAGAAAATGAATTCATCAAAGCGATGTGGTATTAGGCTACAGCTGAATGAATTGACAATGGAGCTCTATGGTAATGAAGTTTGTAAAAACTATCAATAAGGTCATAGAAAGCCAAATTATAGTTTAAGGCAATGAGGTCAAAATTTTACTCCATCTTTTTTATAGCCATCCTGAAATGTCACAAAAACACAATATGATCATCAATATTATTACCAATTACCTAATAATGTGTTTGTTTGGCATTTCTTTTTTTTTTTTTTTTTTAACGTGCTTATGGATGAGTAAAAGCATTTTTTTTWAAAAAATTTGTTAGTCTTCTGTTAAAATTTTAAAGAGTATTTTTTTAACTCATTAGAAAGTAGAAATTTTTAAAATTTTCGATAATCAAAATGTAGGTTTTGAGAAATTCTAAAATAAGATTTTGAAGCATTTAATTGGATGTTTAGAGCCACCCACTTTGATACTKGGATGTTTAATTACTTTAATTAAGTTAGTTGATAAAGTATTTTACTTTTTGAACTAAATCACTTCATTTTTTTTCTTTAAACGTGGTGTACTACACAATCACATATGAAAATATTGTCGAGGTTTAGATGAATAATTAAATGTACAAATATGTCAGACAAAGAATAATATTTTAAAAGTTCACGGATACCACACAAAAGAATCTAAAAACTTTTAATTGTGGATAATTTGTTTTATTTTGAACTAGACAATAGATAATTTAAGTTATAAACTATCACTTTTAAGCACATGTATCATTAATATAAAGTAAAACATATGCGTCAATACGAGATTAGAGGAGTAAAAAATAGTGAAAATAATAAAAAAAAAATAGGAGAGAGAAAGGTAGCATTAGGATGATGGAAAAGGGAAAGAGGAAAGAGAATGATGGGATGCCTTTGSCATCCAAATGCCACTGTCAACAGTTCAATGAACGAGAGGGACGTGACCTCTTCAAAGTTCGAGATATAAAATAAAATTTGTCTTTTAATTTGAGGAGTGGATGTTTATTTCACTTCTCAAAAAGTAACAGTTCGATCTTCACATTTAGAAAGTCTCTCAACCTATTTTAATATAATTGAGTTTGAAAATTAAACGTATGTAAAAATTATTTAACATTATCACGTCATTCAAAATTTGCTAGCTCAATTATGTCAAAGTTATTTTTCTGTTAGTCAACTACCGGTCAAATAAGTTCTTTTCTAAAGGTCAGGAACCAAACTGTTATTTTTTTAAATTTAGGGACCAAATAAATACATTTCCTCATGCTCGAGACAAAGAGTATTTTTACTCTTTTCTTAATGTTTCTTAAGCGATAAATTTATTTTAAAATATCTACATAAATTTCGAATGATTTTTGTATTACTCATATCCATTAATTCATACTTTATTGCCAAAGCGAGCATAAYTCAGAGGTTGTGAGTTTGATCATCCACCCCAYGTGTTGTACTTTGTTTATGCAAGGATTTGCACAACGTTAATCTAGCTCGTACCCGGTCCTTGCTCCGACCCGAAACGCGAAGGGAAGACCTGCACAAGAGGGCAAAACCTCCGACGCTCAAGTCAGTAAGCAGCTCGGACTCAATATTAAGTTCGAGGAGAAATTTCATACCTGATGGTGAAATGAGGCCCTCTATTTATAGGTTTAGGTTCCGGCAGGAGTTTCGACAGGCGGTTACCTTGGTCGGATTTGAGGTCGGATGTGTCGGGTTCACGTAGGTCGGCCTCGGACACACTCCTAGGTACGTCGAATGAATTCCTTAATAGGAAGTGGGGAACATCCCATCTCGGAAGGATCTGAGATGGAGCTCCGTAGGCTCATTCCTCTAGTTCTTCTGTTAACGGCGAATCCTCGTCCTCCATGTGGCGAAGAGATATTTCTCCCCAAACATACTTGAAAAAAAATCATATTTTATTATTAAAATATGAATTAACAAAAACATGGAACATACATTTTGAACATTAACTTTTAGAGATATCCACAATTTTGATTTTAACATTTTTTCCCTTATTTTTAGATTACACAATTTTGTTATATTTAGATTAGGTTTCTTACCAGATATATTGATTTAGATACGCTATATTTATGTTTTAGCTGGATTCCTAATTTACAATAGTAGTTTATTTCACAATAAAATAAATGGAGTATTACAAAGTGGTTTCATTAATTTTACATAAATAGAGTATATACAAAGTGGTTCGACTCTCTCAATACACAAAGTAGTTCCAATTGTTTTTTTAAGTATTTCATCTTAGTAATTGAGAGGGACAGTAAACTTGACCAATTAGATGTCAAGGCAGTATTCTTAGGTACCTATGAGACCATCTTTTGGTACGTACTAYAGATTTGATGAATTCACTACAAAAATTAGGTTTAGTTGAAATGCACATGATAATTGCTTCTATGTTAAAACCAACCTCAAATAAAAGTGACATTTTTCTGGTCTTATACGTAAATGATATGCTCCTCGCTAGTAAAAGATATGATAATTTAGTACATGTAAAAGGATGCCTCAAAACTGAATCCTAGGAATAGAAGTGCAAGCTCTTAAGCGTAAATCAATTRTCCTACTACAAAAGAATACTTACAAAGTTTATAATGAATGATGTGAAATCAGTAAAAACATAAATAACCCAACATTTCAACAAGCTCTCCTTAGAAAATTGTCGAGCAGAAAATGATTTTGAGCATTAAAGACAATGAAATCTATACTCTATTCAAGTATTGCAGGGAGCCTGATGTACCTAGTGATATGTACACTACCAGATGTAGCATATGCAACTAGTGTAATAAACAGAGTCATGGTGAATCATGAAAAAAGACATTGACATGGTGAATCATGAAAAAAGACATTGAGAGGCTGCTAAGTAGGTAATGAGATACCTAAAGGGGACTAAAATATTAGGCCTCACATATAGAAAGACAACTGATCAAACACCAACTACTTTATGGATATGTAGACTCAGACTATGCTGGAGATCTCGATAAAAGGAGATCACTTTATGGGTACTTGATCCTAGTTGGGGAAAATGTAATTAGCAGAAACAACCCTATAACCCGTAGTAGCTCTCTCAACAGAGTTTATATTACTATTTGAAGCAATAAAAAAAGTTCTATGGCTAAAAGGTTCCCCTAAAAGATTTTGGATATGACAACCTAAAAAGAATATCTACTGCAATAATCAGAGTACCATACACTAAAAAAAAAGACCAGGAAATTTCACAGCAGAACAAAACACATACATGTCAACCACCACTTTGTTAGAGAACAAATAAAAAAATGGGCAAAATGAGGTAGCGAAAGTTACCTCTAACAATACTGTTGATATGTTAACCAAGCAAAATTCAAGTACCGTCTCCCATTATCTGATATTCACCTAATTGGCRAAGGATGATCAAGATATTAGTGACAATTCTTTCACTTTCGGTATGGTTTAAGGTGGATATTTTATAGAAATTACTGTAGTAAAATCTACTGAAAGTTAGGTAAGTGGACATCTCGTGTTAATARAGTGAGTTAGTATACTACTACTATATAAACATAAAAGGGTTGTTCCGTACCTTGTATTATTTGAAGCACTAAAGTGAAAAATTAAGTTCTCATACAGTGGRCGTAGGGCTGAACCACTTAAAAACTCGAGTATACTTCTTAATTAAGTTCTCATTACAGTGAACGTAGACGTAAATTGGCGGAACCASTTAAAAACTTGACTATACTTCTTCTCTACTTACTTTGCCTCTTACATGAGTGTAACTAGATATTCATGAGTGATTTTGTAGATCCATAATAGAAGTAAAAGTGATATCCTCCAAACTTAGTATTAAAATTGATATTCCTCCTGATTTAATATTTAATTCGATAAAGTTGAAAGTTTATGAATATTAAATTGGCAAATCTTATTTTAAGTTCTTTAAATGTAAAGATTGAATTTTTTGATTTCAACATTTAAATAAGAAAAGGGGTTAAAAAAATGTACACCCCCGGCAAAACCAACTTAAGAAAACTGAATTTCGTTTGGTTTCCGGGGTTTATCCGAAAAGAAAATCCGAGAGCTCTGCGTCTTTGCTTATCTATGGCTTCTTCCCTCTCCACCTATCAACACCATCTTCTTTCTCCTCAATTTTCTTCAAAAACTAGTGCCAATGGCGGCAAGCAGCTCTCCTCTCCATTTCTTGCTTTACCCACTTCAGGGTTGTCTTCAAACTTCAATTTCTCGCTAAAGTTCCTCAGCAATGGCCAATCTTCATCACTTCTCTCTTCCCGTCCAAGGCGTCTCAGTGTCATCTCAATGGCGCCTCCCAAGGCCAAGCCTGGTGGAAAATCCAAGAAGGGTAATTTCTTAATTCTGATAAACCCTTCATTTCCTTCACATTATCCCTAATTGGGTTGTGCTTTTGTGTAACTTGCGTCTGGGGTTTACAGTAATTGGGATGATAAAGCTTGCTCTGGAGGCTGGCAAGGCTACCCCTGCTCCTCCCGTAGGCCCTGCTCTTGGTTCGAAGGGTGTCAATATTATGGCCTTCTGTAAGGATTACAATGCTAAGACAGCCGACAAGGCCGGCTACGTTATTCCCGTTGAAATTACTGTTTACGATGTGGGTTCTTGTCTCCCCCCTTCTCTTTTTTTTTTTCTCTCTCTGTTAACGCTCTGCCATTTCTTCATTTGGTAATGTCTTATTGTTTGATTTGGAACAGGATAAAAGTTTTACTTTCGTGTTGAAGACCCCACCTGCTTCAGTTCTTCTTCTCAAGGCTGCTGGTATTTCCCTTTAATTGCTTGATGTTGTTTTCTGGGTGCCATTTGTTAATTTTATGTTTTCACTGGGATATATGCTATATAAGGATCAYAATATCTGGTTTAAAATATTAAAAGCTGGTAGCCATTCTTTACAATTTGTCAATGGTAGCCTACTTCCTTTCCTTTGCGAATCGCTTCAGAAACAGTAACTTAATTAAATTGGTCAAAATCTTGGAGAAGGCTTCTGTGGTTAGAGTAAATTTAAATAAAAACTATGGTGGCAGACATCAATGCCTTTACTAAGGATTCTACATTAGTGGCCCTCCTTGTCAAGTGTCAGGTGGAAATGGCCCCTGAATTTCCTTGATATGTCATATGCCATTAGGTGGTTATCCTAGAATCATAGTATTTTGGACCCCATAGTCTAAGGAATAGATGAGAAGATTAAGAAATGGAAGAAGTCCTGCATCTTCAAGGAGGCTGCATCACCCTAGCCCAAGCTGACAGGTTTTATCAGTTTATTTTTTTAAGTTTTCAAATTTCCATATGGTGCAAGGAAGGTGGGCAAAATCCAAAGGGTTTTCTTTTGGGGGCCCCTGAAGCAACAATTTTGCCGGTACCTTATTCATTGAAACATAACATTGAGATGGTGGCCTATGGAGGAATGTGCACTTGCAACATTAAGAGGAGGAATGATGTACTTACTACTTGCCAAAAGTTGCAGATTTTCCAGAGAAGAGAGAGAGGCTTTGTGGCATATGGTGATTGTTGCTAAGTCTAGTGTAGTCTCCTTTAGCTGGTTCACGAACTACTAAATACAATAGTTCCAGAAGTCCCGATTCTTCATAGGCAGGTCAACAATCTGAATCTCTAAGAGAACTAGGATGGCGGTTGCCAATTCGAATGGCAAAGGTTGGCTTTTAGGAGGGCTCTAGGGTGGATGACCCAACCGCCATTTTTTCTCAAGTTGTATACTTAGGCTGGAAGTTGGCTGTCTAGGTTTGGGTCTGTGAGGCTGCAATGTTAGAAACGCCTGGTTATGGATTTCAAAAGGAACTTCAATGATCAGAAGGTTGATTATTGGTTCGGTATTTTCTAAAATCGTGAGCAAATATAGGTTGCATCATTTTTATTGGGTTTCAACTGGTCTCAGAGAGTTCTAGTAAATGCCCTTGGAAGGCTATCTCCTCTTTCATTTTTTTTTCTCTCAGTCTGTTTCTTGCTCTATTGGGATGGTACAGAGGCTTATTTTTGGGAGGATGGCTGGGTGGGTGACAAACCTCTGTGCTTCTTATTCCCTATCTTCCCATTCATCAGTGGCCTCTGTGTTGGGGTCATGGGTAATTCCCATTCTATTTCTTGAGGTCCCTGTCAGTCTTTGACGGATAGGGAGTTGTTGGAGGTTGTTGATTTGGTTGTATCTTGGTTCATTTCATTTAAGGGAGAAAGGACTTTCGTATTTGGTCCSTTAACACGTTGTTGTGATTCACCTGTAGTTCTTTCTTTAATTTTTTTGAGTGTTTTGTCGCTTCCTCCTAATACCTCAATGTTCGCCTCGCTCTCAAAGGTAAAAAATGAAGGAAATAGGTTCTTTACTTGGTAGGTTTTGCATGAGAAAGTTAATACAATGGACCATATTTGAAGATGTTCTTTTTTTTTTGGTCCCCAGTGTTGTGCCCTTAGCAAAAGTGTTTATGAGGACCTTGAGTGTATCCCATTGAGTTGCTAGTTCCCTGAGTTAATTTGGTGTCGATTCCTGGAAGTTTTTGGGGCTTGTAATAAGGAGTGTAGGACAATGATGGAGGTGTTGTTGTTACCCCTTTCAGGATAGAAGACTCATGTTGTGGCAGACTTGTTTTTTTGCTATTTTGTGGGGTATTTGGATCGAGAGGMATAGTAGAATTTTTAGAGGGGTTGAGACTTGAGAGGTTTTAGAAGGAAATTTAGGAGCTTGTTAGATTTAATACCTCTCTGTGGGTGTCRATTTCTAAAACTTTTTGTAATTACCAGTTAGGTGTTATTCTTGTGGATTGAGRTCAGGTCCCTTCTTATGGGGCTTGTTTCTTGTATGCCCCTCGTATATTCTTTCGTTTTTCTTTAATGAAAGCTTGGTTTCTTATAAAGAAAAAAAAATTAATTTCTCTCTCTCCTCACATGAAGGGCATGTAGGAGGCTTGATTCTAGGTAGTAATATTAGGCTTTTTCATACAAGTCTCTCTCAGTGTTTAGGAGCCAATGCCTCTCCGCTCTTTGTTAGCAAGAAAATTTAACAGGATCACTCTCTTAAAAATGTCGAAGTTTTCCACTGGTCTCATTATTTGGGAGGCATTTACCAAATTTATAAAAATTTGAAATGGTTGCTAAACTTCTTGGCCCAGCTGGTACATCTGGTGAAAGAATATTTGTAAGATATTATCCGCCTCTTCATCGAATGCCAGCTGACTACCCATCTCTGGTAGAGGCCGTTGGTTGCTTTTTGAACTTGTTTTTGTATTTCCTTCTAATTTCAGGCCTTAATCCAATGTAATTTTTGGATAGACTTTCTTTACTCAAAATTCAAAAGGGATCTGTTTTGTGGCTTGACGCTGTTATGACCTTTTTTTTTGTGAGAATCTTGGTTGGGAAGGGATAGTTTCAGAATTGTTAGAAAGGGTATCACGACGTTTGGTACATCATTGTTTTTCTTGCCTCTTTATGGGAGTGCAAGTTCTAAGGATTTTGTGAATATTCACTTCCTATATTGCCCCTACTTGGATATCTTTATGTAACTTCTTTTGGATAGGGCTTCCCTTCCTATATATTTCATTCTTTTGACATAACTGTTCCTCACAAGAAAAATGAGTACAACCATTGTGATTGAGCCATATGACTCTCAGATTGAATCACTACGAGGAAGCAGCCAGAGGTCCATATAATCAGTTTGAAGACTTGTGAAATTCCATGTGAACTTCCCAAGAGAAAAGCTAAGAGTACACTGTTTTTATTAGAGACGAACTTTCTTTAAAGAAAAGAAGGGAATACTGCCAACGAGGCATGGAAGAGAGATCCCTCTTCTAGGAGTATTAGGGGGAAAAAGGGGCTCCTCGAATCTTAAGTTGATTGCAAAGCTGCTGTAATTACAAAAGACCTTATGATTGGCATTCAATTTGAGGCCATATGCTGTTCATTTCATTTTGCCAAAAGTCAAAAAATCTTTTAATTATCATTGAAGATCATATTCTCTCATTCTAACCACAACCACAAGGACCAGATTAGGCCCAAATAGCACTTCACATTTTGAATCCGCTCCTTCTAACAATTGTCAGTGGCGTTTTAGGTTAGGCAAATTGCTAATAAAGTTTTAAGTAGCATGGTACAGCTAATCCACAGTTCCTTCAGTGGCTGTCAACTGATTGGGCACAAGCCCTCTGCTCGAGCCTCGAGCACAGTCTCTAGGACAAGTGSTCGCCTCCGGTCACAGCTGGATTTTTGCTTGCTGCCATGTTGGTCAAACAAGACTTGCTTGAAGATCTAATGCTAAATTCTGGTGGAGCTAAACATAAAGGTCAACATATTTTATGAATTAGAAAAAAAAACAGGTTCTAATGTGGAGTTAAAGCCTTATTTATTGGCTTTGTTACAAGTTACCTAACAGTAGAAGTAATGACTAAACAGTCAACAACTAAGTTCACAACACTTAATAATTAAACAAAACAATGAACTTTGTCTTTGGCTCCATTTTGTCCGGGCTTTATTATGGACTGTTTGGCTTGAACGGAATCGTCAAATTTTCCAAGGAAGAGAGCTCACAATGCAACTTCTTTTTGATTCTATAGTTGGTTTGATTGTATCTTGGTGTAAATGCTCTCCTCTCTTCAAACACTATAGTTATGTCTCTCTCTTATCTAATTGGAGAKCTTTTTTGTAGCCCTCCTATGGGTCTCTTCCCTATGCTGTACTAATATTTCATATTATCAATGAAATAGTTTCTTTTCAAAAAAAAAAAAAAAAAAAAACAATGAACTTGCTCTAAACTTACCAATAGTAAAGACAAATATGCAGTATAAATACAACCTACACTAAATATAAACATGACAAACATGTTAAAAGCGAGCCTACATCAAGTAGACCCTTTTTATTTAGCTCCACGACCTATAGAAGTTTGCTAAACTGATGTTGGGACCATGACCCAATCCAYTATATGTTTGTCACCTCCATCTGCAAATTTTTGTAAGCTACCCTTTTTTTCTTTCCTAGTTGTCATGCCTTTTTTTAAGGAATTGTGAGGAGATATAACTAATATAAATGAGTTCATTTGATAGCATTGATTGAACCAAAGCCAGCTGCCCTCCTTTCCACCTGAAAGCTCGATTCCACATTGTTGATCTTTATTAGTTTTCTCAATTATTCGCATCCCTATTATTTTTTGGAATTGGATTACTTTCATTCCTCTTAATAAAAATGGTTTTCTTTGTTTAAAAAGAAAAACTGCACCGGTGCAGAAGTGTGCACTATCTTGCCTTTGATTATTTCAGTCTATTTGCAATATTTGCTGCAGATAACTATGAAATATGTTACATTAGGGTGTGTTTGTTATTTCTGGCATAGGCATTTCATCTTTTTAGGGAGCTGGGCGCCAAGGTTATAATTTCCTTATAACTATTTCACAGCTCGGAGTATGTTCTTATAGTTTGTTGTTTSTTGAGACTAGAGCATGTATGGCTATTTTTTATGGGGATGTATCCTGAAGTTAGAAGGGAGCAGAGGCATACATAAAGATGTATATTCCGCAGTAAAAAGTTTATGGTTATTTTTTCAAGTGGTCTAAATATTTTGTGTTACAAAGTCGACAAGGGTCATCTTTCTTTATGATACCTGTCCACTACTATAAGCTGTGTAAAGTGAATTGATCATTTTCACAAATGATTGCAGAACTTTCATATTCTGAAAAAACTCTAATAAATGTACACTATTTACGCATGCCCAGGAGATTTACATTGATACACTACTACGTTACATACGCAGAGAAGTTGTTTGCTCACACTACCTGTTCTGCATTTTAACCTCTATGAGTTGGCTATGTAGGAGTTGAAAAAGGATCAAAAGATCCACAGGCGGAGAAAGTGGGAAAGATAACCATTGAACAATTGCGTGCGATTGCTGCTGAAAAGTTACCAGATTTGAATTGCACAACCATTGAATCCGCAATGAGAATCATAGCAGGTACAGCAGCCAATATGGGAATTGAGGTTGACCCTCCTGTCCTCGAACCTAAGAAGAAGGAACTTGTGTAGCTATTTGTGGTAAATTGGTTTATTCTTTTCCTTTTTTGTCGTCTTTAATATATTTGAGGCATCTTACTGTAAGATGATTTATAATTCCACAATCATGTCTCCTATTCCTATATGGGTCTTATGCTTGCTTTTACTTAACTTTATTCTTTGTTTATCTTGAAGAGCATGACGTTTTCGAGCCTCTAATATGCAAACTACCAGTTCCTCACCTGTAGCTACTTTACCTCAAACCAAGTCCTCCAACCCCATCGCAACTTTCTCGCTTTACTTTATTTTCATTCACATGATTGTTTTGTTCGAATCTGTTTGTTTCCTTTGTTTGTGAGATCATCTTGGGTTGCTATCGATGCTGAGATATGATAAATGAAAATTTTATTGATAAGAACTTTTCAATTATAATCAATATCTTATCACAAATAATTCTGACAACTCCCTGGAAAAAAGAGGCAAAGTAGTGACCACAKTAGTGAAAAAGTGTCATGGTGAAAAGGAGTGATGCTATGCCAACCAATGAATGCATTATCKTTTCAAGTAATTGAAGTTCCAAGGTGCCTCAAAAAAGAGGGTCAGATAAAACAAGCTAAAMCTCCCGCGAAACTGCAAAAACTATTGTCGATTGAATGCCCCAAACTAGACTAGTGAGGCTAGAAATGAGATTAAAAGCTATTTCTAACGTTGAAATTAAGTTGTGGCAAGGATATGGGGTCGAGAATGATAGTGTGTGGACACATATTGATTGTCTTGTGGTGAAAGGGGTAGATAGACATTACACATCTTTTCTTCCAAGTAGGGTGGAGAACTTGGCTTCAAGGATGGCAAGTGAGCTAGGTAGAGGTGTATCGTCGTATCGTGAGCATAGGAAGGTTGAGCTTGGAATCGAAGAAGGGGCGAGGAAGTTTGTTCTTCGGGTGTTTTGTTCATTTGTGAGATTTTGAAGTGACTTGGGGCCAAAACGTAGTGTTGAGCATAAGGGTTGAACTTCTATAGCCATTGAATTTGAGCAAGTGGTTGATATGAACCATCTCTTTCCTTTTGAATAGGACCCCTTTTTATATGAAAATCCTAGTGCATTGGAATTAGAAAATTTCTTAATTCTCACCCACTAAAATCTTCCAATCCATTTGATTTCAAAGTTAGACATGGATTGATTTAAGATCAAAGCCCTCGAGACAAAGAACAAGTTTCTTGGYCCAGGGGTTGAACACTCCTAGGATTACCAATCATACTGAGATATTTTTGGCATGCAACTCAAAGAAACATGAAATTGCAAGATTATTTTGGCATGCAGCTCAAAGAAACATGAAATTGCAAACGGTTCCAGAAAGCTCCCGACTAAACTTGAAAGTAAAAGCTCGAGGACAAAAATTCATTCATCACTGATCTAATCTCCCAAACAACCTCATGGTCAAGCTTTAGATAGTCTTCCAACTAAATCACTAAATCCTAAATGTCAAAAAAAAAAGCAATAGAATTACATCAAAACTATTAAATTAAAAGTTTTTCATAATTTGTTTCAAGTTTCCATTTTGTACTTTTAAATTTCATAAACTCCCATTTGCTCCCTCCCACACGTTGATTACACTTCTGCTTTCTCCATGAGGCTTTATTATTTATATATATATATTTTTTTATTTTTTTGTGACTTGTGCTCTTAAAGATCATGGTTGAATTGATATAAATAAGCGTGCCCACCCTTTGTTTTTTCTTGTCTCGTCTTTTTTACTTTGTAAAATTCCCTCTTTCTATGAGAAATAATGGTGGGATTGAAGAGTTTCCAATGAGTATGACCTTTCTCATTGAAGGATATGATTTCTACAAAGGCCAATGTCAAATCCTTCTCACCTTTCCTTTTGCTTCTTTTCTTTGCGATGTTGAAGGAAATAAAGTGGTGGGGCTATCATCAATGCTATCATAGCAAGACATTATTGCCTGTTTTAGTTCCCATGAAAATATGGAATATTAGTACTGAATTGTAGCCTTGTAGGCCTAGTCAAATCGGTGAACTCTGCCAATTTGGTTTAGTAGAGGTTAATTTTCGAGAGGCGTGGTTTTTGTTTGATGAAGATGGAACCAAACTCGAGAGATAACATGATTCAGGTCGTAAGGAAGTAATTGTTGGTCGAGGCGAAAAGCGAGACTCTCGATGTAGCATCTATCATGAGCATCTTTTTTTGGGTTAAACATGTGCAACAATTGAGGGACATGTCCTTCATCTATAAAATCTTCTAAATATTGTAGGTAACTATTGCACAACATGAAAATCTTCTAGACACGTTTTATTTGGAATACATCGGAAGTGTTGCAACTGGTAGAAGAACCAATTGTAAGATCGTATGACAATACAACCTCCATAGTGCAAATGCAAAAGCATTGTTTTCCTCCATTGAATGACCCGTCAACTTTCATGAGGGCCATATTATGAGAAAGAAGGGGAAGATGAACCTTTGGGCTTTGAGGAGCCGTTTCATAGGCATCCTACAATATCATATAAAAGAAATACATTTTTGTTGTTGTAATCTCATCTTTGAATTTATGAAGTATTTGTTGTTGTAATCTCATCTTTGAATTTATGAAGTATTAGACAGAATGGGTGTGGTTATGACCATTATATGAATTACATTAATTTATTAAAATTCTTTTTTAAATATATATAGTTTTGTGCTATGAGAAAATGGACTTCCAAGTGACGAAAATTGTATTCATCGCAAGAAAAGTGACAAATTGAAAATTTTGGCGAGGGAACGCATTTTCGTTGCTTTAGTTAGGAATTAAATACAAATAATTTTTTTAAAAAAGTAAAATTTGCATGAAACGTTTTGGGTAGAGTTAAACCCATAGAAATACACTACTACTACTTAAGYTGTGTCTGAGAACCATTTCGTTTATTTTTTATTTAGCTTATAAATACTATTTCTATCYMCGTATCTCTTTGTTTATTATCTATTTTAGTTTCTAAAACATAAGTCTTTTTTTCTTTTAAGTACGAATGGGGAGCTCAGTTTTTAAAATTTTGTTTTTGTTTTTCAAAATTAGCAAATTGRAAACGAAATCATTTCCAATTTCTACTCTCRTTAATTATGAACAATTAATCCTCATATTTATATTCTAAAAGAAGAAAATAATATTCGATTTAAGGTAAGTTGTGACAGCTAAAATAGACATTATTGTTTTTGCACAAAATTAATTAGGGGTATAATTGTGTCAAGCCGATTCAATTTTCGGACGAAGCAAGTCGGGTCGGGTCGGATTGCTGGTGGTTTTTTTCTTCTTCTTTCTAATCCTAGGGTTTCTATTTTATGATACACTTCTGACAGGCCAAGTGGATCTACAAAACTGCTAAGGAAAAAAACTTAAAAGAAGTCGTAGTTGTCGACCTCTGACCCCTTGCAAAAAAAGGAAGGAGAAGAGAAGGAACAAMACACRCAAAACTCAAAGAAGAAACCTTCAATTATGTTGGACCGAGCTGACTACTACAAACCCAAATCGAACCGACTCGAACCGCTTTGGGTCAGGTTGGTTTTCCGGATCGCTTTGATACCTTAACACAAATGATAGAAATTATGTGAGGATGGAAAGGGATCAATATTTGGTAGGAAGGACGTTTGGAAGAATATTCCAAATACTTTTCACAATTTACAATTTTAAATATTTGTTAATATGGTAACTGACCTGGCAAAACCAAATTGATCAGAATTTAAAATTTACTCTTTTTAAAAATATCTTTTAAAATTGAGCAATGTCCATAAATATTCCGATACTTTAGAGGGGGTGTTTGGGACATGGGTTCTATTTCACGAACTAACGGAAGTTATGAAACTTTAATTAATCTTTAACTAGTTAAGCTATGTTCAAGTTAATTAATTTAGTATAGATTTAGGTAATTTGAATTTGTGAAAKATTTAATTCTATTAAATTAATTGTTGTATTTTATATCTATTTTAATTTTTAATTTTAACTATTTACTTTAAATCCAACTTAAATTTTAAAATAATATAAACTTAAAATTTTATCATTAAATATAATTAAAAAGTTGTTGGGTAGTTGTATAATTTTTCTTTTTCAAATTAAAAAGTTGTCAGGCAGTTGTATAAATTTTTTTTATTGAAAAGAAAAGAAGCAGTTGGATAATTTATATTAAAATTTTAATTTAAACACTACTATTAGATCTAAAATAATTMTATATAATTTATGTTTTAAAAATATAATTATAAAATAAAATTGTTAGTACTTTCGTTAAAAATTTTAATTGTCAATTTTTTTAATACAACATATTAGTGTGAGGATTTGAACTCGTGACMTTTCGRTAAAACAGGAAAAAGARATAAATATCTTAATTAGTTGGCCTACAATCAAGTTTACATTTTTTAGTATATTTAAAATAAAAGTGATTAAATTTTAATTTTTATAATCTTTACATCTAGGCCGATATAACATCCCCTGGCTAGATGTGGAAGAAGTAACGTTGAGGAGTCCCATTTTATTTTTCATAGAACCATCCTTATAAATAAGGTAAATATTGCTAGAAATAAATAAAAATAAAAAAAATAAAAAATAGAGGGGTAGGTAGTTAAGGCCCTATTTGATCTGCAAGCAATATTTTTTGAATTTTGTGATCCAAAATAATGAAAATTTTAAAAACAAGTTTTCATATTTTTAATTTAAAACTTTAAAATACAGAATTACATTAAAAGAAGATAAAAATTCCGATGAATACATTCATTTTGTGGTAAAATATAATATATTATAAATTATATAGCATTATATAATAATAATTATACAAAATTTATAACAAAAATGTTAATAGATTAATTAATATTATTTTAAACTAAACTAAATATTTAGTTGGTAACTATTACTAATTTACAAATATATGGCTAAATACAAGTTGACCGATTTTTTAAATTGAGATTCAATTTTTAAATATACTACCAAATACATATGTGCGAACACTGAAAATAAAGAATGGCTAGATACACGGTGATGTACAMGTGCACGCACACGTACTTTACAGACGTTGTGCATTGAATACTACTTAGTGTTTAATTTGCACACCACTTCGAGGGAGTGTATTAAGTTTCTACATGTAGATAGAGGTTGGCTATAAATAGATGATGTAGGACATTTTATTAGTTGATGCTACATGTAGACGAAGGTTTGTGCTAACAAGACGTAGACGTGTTCRTTCAATGTCAAAGATCATATATTGAAAGATCGACATCTACTCACATTATGATAGGATAAAATTTTTCAATTTRTAGCTAATATAAATGGATGACTAACAATAAATTTAATCATAAAATTAGTATCAGTGCAGTGCAGAAGAATTACAAATAACAGAGATAATTGGAGTAAATATTGACAAACAAATACATTAATAATTAGGTCGAGGTGTAGCTATCTCGCTCTCTTTAAGGAGATTCAAGTCATGTGCAGTGTGAATTTCTTTATCAACCAACATTCCAGCAGATATTCTTTGGTCTATCTCTATAGAATACAACMATTCAAATTGAAACGTTGTGTAGCTCAAAACACTCGACATCCAGAGATTGAGTTCAAAGCTCCACAATAAAAAACATCATTCTTTTGACCAATTACTCGAGAGAGAGTAAAATATATCAAATATGTTGTATAKTGAGAATCTGGAGAGATATTTAAAAGGATTTTTAGATCTAGAAATTTAATTAAAAAATAAGTAATTATAAAATAACATCTCTTCCAAATATGTTTTGTTCCAATTTGATAAAATCTCTCAAAACTTAAAACTCTGAAATTAAATACTAAAAAAAAACTTTAACTATAAGTAAATGGTAAAATTGAGCAATACTTATTAGATGTGAAGAAAAAGAAAAAAGTATTTTTCATGTATCGAAAATGCAAGGAAATAAATAAAATTGAAAGCTTTAAATTAATTATTAAAAGCTAACAATTTAACAGTGGTATTTTTGGTGTCTGCTGTTCGTGCATGAAGAAGATTTATTATTATGTCATAGTCACATGACATATTTGGGTTTTTCTTTTCTTTTTTTTTTTTTTAATTTTTATAATGCTAAGTTTATAGCTATAACTATATATCACAATCAGTATAGTTAATGGAAGAAGATGTTCCGATCACTTTAATTTGTTTCCTTTTGCATTGGCGATTTTCTGTTTCGGAAAAAAGTAAAGTATAGTTCAAAGMGAGTTTTATGCAATTTGCTATTTCTTTTAAAAAGGATATCAAATCAACAAATACAGATGAAGTTAAAAACAATTTCCTTTTTTATTTATAAAATTGAACAAGGGAAAATTAGAGGAAGACAATACAATTTTATTGATGTTTTTTAAAATTATAACAAACTAAGAGTGACTAGCCGTACAAACTTATTAGAATCCATATAAATGAATTAAATTTATCCAATCTATCAGTTTAAGCTTTTGGGTTGAGTGGTGGTTTGTTCATTCTTTATCAATTACTGTCATATGAGATTAGTCTGTGTATAAACTGATTTGGACAGTCTGAATGTAAAAAAAGAAAATTTAACTAGTTAATATATTTGAAAATACATGAATAAGAAAAAAAAATAACCACTAATTTTTTTTCCTCTCTCTTTTGTCCTTTTTCCCACCTTTTTGCTGTTTTATTCTTAGAGTGGGTTGTCTTTTTCTTTCCACAGATAATTTTAACTTTCTTTCTGTAATGAGAGAACTACCCCACACAAACTCAAATTTTCTAATGAAATTTTATTCTTTAGAAAAAATTGATAATTTTAATATTAAGTAAAAATACATTGTGCTTTTAACGTGGTCAAGCTATCTTTTAAAATGAATATGTCACACATCCCATTTAACTTGTATGGTTAAAAATCGACTTCAATTTTTTATATATAAAAAGATAGTATGGTTTGTTTAGTTTTATTTTATTTATTTTTAATATATTACACCACAATTACGAGAGATTCATTTAAACCTACACCCCTCATAAAGAGAGAATTATATGTTGAGATTGTACCTATTATATTTTATAATTATTGAGCATCCATGTATATTTAATAGTTTATAATATGAAAATTAAAATAAAAATAAAATTTATAACATCATGTTGATAGCATGAACATAACTAAATTCATTGAAGTGTATATCATCGATCAAAATGTTAGAGATGCTAATCTTAATTAAAAAAAAAGTAAATATAAGATTTGTTTTTTTTGGTAACTAAAGATTAAATTTTTTTTAGTAGAGAGAGATTTTAATAATAAGAGAAAAAAGGAAAAAGGTTGTGCGATTTTGCTTGAAAATTTTGAAAATATTTAAATTTAAAATCGTAGATGTCATGATTCATGCATGCTTCAATAATAAAAAAGTCATAGATGTCAGATATTAATTTTTAGTTTTTACAGCAAAGATTAAATGTGAAATTTATATTAAAAAAATTGAATGGACTAAAATATAACTTTTTTTTAAAGAAAATAAAAAATGAGGCATAAATTACAAGTACCAACTATATTTTAACCCCCTTTTCTTCCTAATTTCTTTCTAAAATGATATTATCAAGATAAGTACTGGTAACAAAAAAAAATTAAAAAGAAAATAAAAAAAAAACAACCAACAGATTAAGAAAGATGAAATTGTCTAAATCCACTTGATTTTTATGATATAATATTAAAAGAAGAGTCTACAAACAATAAAAAATATCTATAAAATTAAAATTATAGTGTGAATAAAGAGAGTGGAATATTTCCCTAATATTATCTTACAATTTCGATAAGACCATCCGAATAATTCTATATGAGTTTTCAATTGCTATAATTATTTAAAAGAAACAGATAATTGTATCCTCTTAATATATTTCTCTATTCGAAGTAAATTATTATTATTTTTTTTTGTTCAAATGAGAAATTACAAAAATTTAATTTTTCTGAAGATTCGGTGTGCGGGTATTGTTAAAATAGGATTTTGAGATTTCTTATCTTTCCCTATTTCTAAAAGCTCAAATAATCAATCTCCTAAAAGATTTGGAAAAATATAATGAAAAGATTTTTAGTTTTGAATTATAAAATCTTTCAAAAGAGAAAATTAAATTTCTCAAATTTTGAGTTTAAAATTCAATAAAAATTATCTTTCTTTAAATATGAAATTTTAGACCATCTTTTTTTTTTTTTTTTGAAATTTTAAACCATCTAAACTCACCCACTCAAACTTAATTTTTTCATGTGCAGTGTAGGGGAAGGAATTCGATGTAATTTAATTGATTTTAATATATTATTCTTATAAATTTGTTTTGGTCATATAAAAGAAAATTAAATTTTGAACCACGAAAGTTCGTCAAGAAAGTCGATTGAATTTTGGGAACAGGAAAGCCATCGTTTCGCTTTCGAATTTCCATAATTTTTCAAGAAGAGTTGGAAAAGGAAGAGTTGGAATCGGGAAGTTTTTTAATCCATTTACAGTCCCACAGTTTCTTCTTACAGAACCATTTATATTTTTGATTTTCTCCTTACGTCCAAAATTTAAAAGGCGAGATCACTGCTGCAATTTCAGAGTCACTACGTCTACAGAAACCCAAAAAGCTCGACGGCCGCTCATATTTCCTCTTTGGCGCTCGTTTGAAGAGATACCCTTCTGCCTATACTCTTCAATTCCAGAGTATATCGGCATTTTAGTAAGGTCTCTCTCCATTTTTCTCTGAGATTCTGGTTCACTGTTCTTATTTTAATCATATGGAATCTGTCTGGTGTTTCTGATGCCCTTTAAGATCCTGCGAATATTCATTAGCAATCCCTTCTTAGATAAGCGTATTGGGTTTTGGATTTTTATTCGTTTCTTTTCTGGTTTTATTAATTTTGCTTCTCTCTAAAGTGATTCGCCTTGATGGGGTGTCGTAATTTTACATGGATTTCATTGGCTGTAATGTTGATTTGATCCACAAATAGTGTTAGGTTTTTGTGCTATGAATTTCTTTGGTGATATCTTCACTTGAGTTATTCTTGTTCTTGTTCTTTAAATCTCTGATTGAGGGATTTTCTCTGTGTTTTGCTTCGTTGCTGAACATTACTCTCTGTGTTTGCTTGCTGAGGGGAGGTCTGCCTCTGATATAATGAAGCTTATTATGTTTCCAATGCTGAGGGGAGGTCTCCCTCAAACTCTCAGCCGCCCCCCACCCTTCCCCCTCTCCCTCTTGATCTGCTCCCTCCCCTTCTCTCTCTCTGGATCTGCCCTCCTTTTCACTGGAGTCAGCAGCAGTGGCGGTGCGGGGTATCCCTCCCCCACGGCCGTTCCACAGAGCTGCAACACCGGCCAGCAAATGTGTGGTCCTCTGTGCCATCACCATGCTCATAAACTGATGAATTGGATGCTAAATCAATATCAATTTCTTTCAAAACAAATATTTCTCTGGTAACACTTTATTTTGTCTGTATGACTACTGAAGTGTCCTGTGATGACTTCTTTTCCTTTGGTATAAACACCCAAAAGATTGTTGCCTTTAGGGGCAGTATTGTTTTGTCTCCCCAACTTGTTCTCTAGTTATTTATTTTGAAGTCTAAAACCAGAATTGTTCCTTAAGGTATTATTGCAGGAGAACGACCAGATTCAATCTCCTCTCAACTCACTGCTCACTGAACAGATAACGGTCTAGATGTTTATTCTGTGGATGGACTAGCAGACAGTCTGATTCAGAGATTTCAATCACTATCATAATATATTAGCTGTTAGCATAGATTTTTGTCTTCATGGTGCAATTAGTTCTTCTCTCTCTGTTTCTCCCTTTTCCCTTCTCAAATTCTCACGTCTGAAGTAAACGTTCATTTTGTTTCTACTTTAGTTCTGACTTAATAACTTACTTTATTCATCTGAAGGACTGAGTTCCTGTTGAATGGACTTTGCACCTCCCTTCCTCCAGCCCCCAACCTAATCACGCTCTTCGAATATGTAATTGTTTTGGGAATTATAATTTTTCAGCCACTACTGAAGTCCTGTAGTGTGAATTGAGCTGGTTAATTTTTCATTATTCTGGATGCTTCTCTTCACTTTTCATTCTTTTCTCACATCTTCAATTTTGTTTTTTAATCTCTCTCTCTCTCTCATATTTAATTTTTTACCTTGAGATCTCTTTGAAATGATTTGTGTGGACTTTCAAAGTTATTATTTTTTTAAGAAGGATTGTTTACATTATTTGTATTGATTTTACATATGCTGAGGGAAATGGTCAACTTTCCAGATGGCTCTCAAAATTGAGAATACATTAGCCTCATAAGTAATATCAAAGTCGAGTTTATTTCTACTCTACAATTCATGGAAGATTCAGTTCAGTTGATAAGTTGATCCGACATAGGGGTCAACATGTGACATTGCCATGTTGATGAATCGTGGAAGGTGTTGTGTTAAGTTCTTGATGTAATAGATATCTTTTCATTTTAAATTTGACTTGTAGGACTGAGAATACTATTCATACCAACAGAACTGAGGTTCTTATGCCCCTGCTTTTGAGCCTGACCTTGTAGTTGTAAATATGATTATTAGTTTATTATCCTGATAATATGTCCGTCTTTCGTATTTCTGCATTGATATCTTCAATTATCCTTTAAACATCTTTTCTTATCCAATTGCAGATGGAAGTGCAAAGTCACGATCACGGTCACATAATTGAAGTATGTGGGGATGTGCAAGCTGTAGGGCCGAGCATCACTGGAAGTAAAATTTGTGGGGATGCACCGTGTGGATTCTCAGATGCGAAAAATAGTTCGAAAGATGCGAAGGAGCGGTCAGCGTCCATGCGGAAGCTTTTTATAGCAGTTGTTCTCTGCATTGTTTTCATGAGTGTAGAAGTAGTTGGAGGTATTAAGGCAAACAGTCTTGCTATATTGACTGATGCTGCTCATTTGTTGTCAGATGTTGCTGCTTTTGCCATTTCTTTGTTCTCACTCTGGGCATCGGGCTGGGAGGCAACTCCACGCCAGTCGTATGGTTTCTTCCGAATTGAAATACTCGGTGCCCTCGTTTCCATTCAGATGATATGGCTTCTTGCTGGAATTCTTGTTTACGAAGCTATCATCCGACTTATCAATGGTCCTGGAGAAGTCAAGGGGTTGCTCATGTTTGTTGTTTCTGCCTTCGGGTTAGTTGTTAACATAGCTATGGCTCTGCTGCTTGGTCATGAACATGGCCATGCTCACTCTCATGGTCACAGTCATGGACATGGTGGGCACGACCATGAGCATGGTCATGGCAGCCACGAGCATGGTCATGGCAGCCACGAGCATGGTCACGAAGATCATACCAACAGGCATCACCACGGGATAAGTGTTACCACGCATCACCATCATCACCACGAAGAAGAGGGAGCTACCAGTAACGCTGCTAAGCACGATCATGTTCACACCCACGAGGTAGACACAACTGCACCCTTGCTTGAGAGTTACTACAAAGATGAAAGTCATTCCCAAAAGGGTACCGAGAAGCCAAAGAAACAACGAAACATAAACGTACAAGGTGCTTATCTTCACGTACTTGGAGACTCCATTCAAAGCATCGGAGTGATGATCGGCGGGGCAATCATATGGTACAATCCCAAATACAAGATCCTGGATCTGATATGCACTCTCATTTTCTCTGCAATTGTGCTCTGCACAACAATCCAAATGCTGCGGAACATCCTAGAGGTTCTGATGGAGAGCACGCCTCGAGAGATCGATGCGACAAAGCTCGAGAAGGGTCTGTGCGAGATGGACGAGGTAGTTGCAATCCACGAATTGCACATCTGGGCCATAACTGTGGGGAAGGTTCTATTGGCATGCCATGTTATAGTAAAGCCAGAGGCAAATGCAGACATGGTACTGGACAAGGTCATAGATTACATCAAGAGAGAATACAACATCAGTCATGTCACAATTCAGATAGAGCGCCAAAGATCTTAGAGTTTGAATCAGAATGCTTGTAGATATGGTTTAAAGGGAAGATCTGTCTCAAGTATTTAATGTCTTCTTCATTCTCTTCTTATGTCATCTTATGAAGAAGGAAAAAAAGTTGCTATTAAGTGGAATTATTTTGGTAGGGGAAATTGAAAGTTGGCTAGCTAAGGGGTCATTTAAAAGTGCTTTAATGTGTAACTTTTGACCCAAAAAGTGTTTTTTTTTTCTTTTTTTTTTTTCCTATTTTGTCATAGTGTTTGGTTATGTTAAGTAAAAGTACTTCTGATTATTTCAGAAACAATTAGAGAGAGTTTGGCTTGATTTTTTTCAATTTTTAGATGATAAAATGTGCTTTTAGCTCTTTTTTTTTTAAAAAAATGTAATGGGGGTTGGTTGCATTACCAAAAGTACTTTTAACATTTTTAAAATACTAAAAGGGCTCTAAGAGAGAGTATTTTCCCTTTTAAGAGTATTTAAAAAAAAGTCAGTCATTTTAGGAGAAAGTTTAAGAATAATGTAATTTAAAAAATTAATTACAAAAATAATGTATATTTAAAAATAATAACAAAATAAATGTAGTAGAAATAAAAAATTACAAAATTAAGTTATACATTCAAACTATTGACAAAAATAGGTTAGGTTCTAGTCAAAGTCAAAAATTGCATATAATGGATGCGATTTAGGTATCAAGATGACATAGATGAGGTGAACCTCGAAGAATGATTCAGCAAGGAAATCGCGTACATTGTAAAGTCAAAGTCGCGTACATTGTATGCAATTTCTATTTATGGAAAGTAATGTACGCGACTTTCTACAATGAACGCAATTTTCATTTAAAATATTTATATATTTATTTATTTAGTCTTTTATTTATTTTACGAATAAAATATTAAAGGATTCGAATCCATGAATAGAGGGTTGATATGACCTTTATGACCTATGGTGCACAATTCTTACCATTGAATCCAGTGACAAAATAATATATATAGCATATATAACTCGCAGCAACTGTATGCCCAACACGTGGCATCCTTAAAGCCATGTCATGCCGAAGTCGCGGCCAATGACTGCGACTTTCACAAATTCGCAATCATTGGCTACGATTTCGACCTAAAATCGCAGCCATTAAATGCGATTTACCTGAAATCGCATCCAATGRCTGCGATTTCATTACCCTACTTTTGAAAATACTTTCAAACCTATATTATTTGTGTCATTTGTTTTTTAAAAAAACATTATTTTTAAAAAAATCCGTCATTTTAAACTCACTATATATATATATATATGATTAAAAATGTTTTATTTAAAAATACTACTTTCAAAAGCTATACCAAACTCCACTAATTTCATTTTATTTTTTGTCTAAATTTGTATTTACCTTAATTTAGAATAGTATTATTAAGTGTGCTTCTATCTTATCGTATTCTCTAATTAAATGAATATAAATCCMAATCATCTACAGGTAATCTAATTATAACGACTCTTATATTAATCACTTCCATTCTTCTCAACCATATGTAGCATTAGCACTCGTACGAGCCTACATTTTTAATCGCATAATGCCAAAGCTTTTTGATTTGTTTATCTCTAAAGATTAATCAATATATTAATATTGAATATGATAATTTAAACGATAATTTTATACATAGTTTCATGAATTAAAATGTTACTATGATTTTTTTGGTATGAGAATTTGAATCTCCAACTTGAAGGAAAAGAATATATGTCATTTAGTGATGAATTATGTTCATGCTAGCAATATAATAAAAGGATAAATTTCTAAGGAGAGAAAATGACCCACCACCATAAATTTAATAGATATTTATTTAAAAAGGAAAAAAAAAGAGACGGAAAGTTCGTGGAATGATTCATGGGAGATAGATAACAAAATATAGAAACATGGGTGGAAATAGTGTTTATAAACTTAATTCTTAAAAATAAAAAATAAAAATCCGATTGCTTAATTTTCGTTATTAAAATCCACTTATCAACCTCTTAATCCTGAAAAAATCAAGATTTTATGTTGCAACCATGAAGATCTATGCTCGAATCCCAATAAAAGATAAAAAAAAGATGTGTTTTTGAAATGAAATCTCATAAATATTGATATAACATTAGAGCTCAAAAAGTTCAAACGAACATCTAGTTCAAAAATAAAATCCGGTCAAGATCGATAAATTAACCAAAAGAGCCACGTGAGGAGGCATGTGAAGGATCCCACATTAAAAAAAAAATCTAGTTCGAGCGAGTTATGATTTGAATAAAGCTTCTCTTTTTTAAAAGATTTCAAAGCAAGTGAAGCTTAGCACGCTCACATCGAGTGAAACTTGATTGTAACTTTGATCTCTTGAATTTTTCTTTGATTTTAATATTCTAACTTTTGAAGCTTGCTTGTTTTGTGAGTTTTATTTTATTTTTTGTTTGACTATAAGCAAAATGCTAAGTTCGTTGGTATCATAAGTGAATTTCATATTCATTTATCATATTTTGTTTATGTTGTTTTTCATAGTCAAAGTAAGTGAAGTTTATTTAATGTTAATTTTTGTTTTTAATTTATTTTTATAGGTGAAGAAAGATTATTCTTTGGAGGCCACTTTAGAAGTTTTCCAAGCAAAAGAAGAAAGGAAATTTTTAAAAGATAATAATAATTAAATTATAATGCCTAAGCACTGTGGCAATTGTTCATGAAGAATTTCAGTAAATAGAAAATCGAACTAATGAACTTGATTTGAGGGTTAATGAACGCTATGGCAATTGTTCGTGAAGAATTTTAGTAAATAGAAAATCGAACTAATGAACTTGATTTGAGGGTTAATGAACGCTAAGGATTGATGCATTCAATTTCTAGCTTATTAGCTTATTGAATGATTTCGGAGATCTTCGGCTTTAAGATTGTTGAAGGCTTCGATTAGTTGATGAAGTTTTTAGACTTGTAGCCTAATGAAAGTTCTTCGACTATCGAGTTTGATGAAGTTCTTCGGCTTGCAGTTTGTAAAGAGTATTTGAAGTCGGCTTTGAACTTGATGAAGTTCTTCGACTATACAACTCGATAAAGTTTTCGATTTGTAGCTTGATGAARTCTTTGAAGCTTTCAACTTTGAGCTGGTTGAAAATCTTCGGTTTGTTGATGACGAAAAAAAAGATTCAATTATTGAAATCTCGTAATAGAAAGAAAAGAGAGTGTGCATCTAGAGAGAATGACAGAAGATCCAAAACAAAACCTAAACAAAACCTTGAGAGATTATGTATTGCCGAACGTAAATGAGATACATTCCACTATTTAAAAACACACAATTCAAACGAACAATTTTGAGATGAAACTGACTTTGCTTCAAATGATGGAGACCTCTATGCATATTAATGCTCAAATCTCTAATTTTTGTGGAGATATGTTATACCTACATGTATAATGAAGTGACAGGCGATGCCATTTAGACTCGTGGCTATTTTCATTTTTCTCTTGAGAATTAAACTAAAAATTGGTTGAATTTTCTAGGTGGCATATTTGATTGAGACATGGAGTGATTCGGCGTTATGTAACACAAAAACTGTGTACAAAGACATTAGAGATTATGTATTGCCGAACGTAAACGAGATATACTCCACTATTTAAAAACACACGATTCAAGCGAACAATTTTGAGATGAAACTGACTATGCTTCAAATGATGGTGGAGACCTCTATGCGTATTAATGCTCAAATCTCTAATTTCTGTGAAGATATGTTATACCTACGTATATAATGAAGTGACAGGATGCCATTAGACTYTGGCTATTTTCATTTTTCTCTTGAGAATTAGACTAAAAATTGGTTGACTTTTCTAGGTGGCATATTTCATTGAGACATGGAGTGATTCGACGTTATGTAGCACAAAAACCGTGTACAAAATATCCCTCTTTCTCTCAGGAAACTCACCTGCTTCCCGTATTTAAATCCTTAGTTATGATGAGTGAGTTATTGTCTCCCTGTTTTCTGAGGACGAGATCCAAACAAAAGACTTACGGAGGATAGGATGGAGGAACCAAACTTTGGTCTACTGTGGCCAACCAAACCAAATCAGTCTTAAAGAAATGAGTGGGAACACATAAATTTGGGCATGATTTTCGAGAATGGGCCAACAAAGGAGTCCTGCAGAAGAAGAGCTAAATGGGGTATTTCATAAACAACCCAATAATAATTACATCAGTTAACAAATTAAATGATCAGAATTAAAACAACTGATCTAATATATCTCTCTTGAAGGCCCCCAGAAGCTCCATTCCTTGTTAGATTTATAGGGCTTTGAAGATTAGTTGGATGATTGAGCAATCTGTGGGATTTGGAGGCTAAGAATTGGGRGATTTGAGTACAGTAAAACCGACAAACCAACAGTTTTGACTAGGCTTGGTCAAAAGAAGTTGAACAAAAGAATTGGTCAAAACGTCTTCAAAACTCGCGTTTTASGCTTTCTGAAAATCTCMCAGGAGTGGTCGTGTTGTGCACTGCCCTATTCTTGTCACAAAACAAAGTATTTTGTAACAAAACTTACGGTTTTGATAAGTTATATAGTTATGGAGTATGCTAAATGAATATTCACAATTTCGGCTGCCAAATATACGAAATACGAAATATAAAGTATAGGGTTACAAAACTAAACTAAAAATAGTACAAATTAATACTAATTTACCCTTAAAATAAAGGGTTATATCAATGTAGATAACTTACCTTTTTTTTTTCAAAGAAATTCGTTATTGCATAAGAAAGGATAATCGGTCAATTACTCAATGCCTAGACAAAATAATAAATTGAAAATACACTTTGTTTCTTATATATGGACAAACCCATGCATGTACAGTACAGACTGGACCCCTGCTACAACAAACGGACTTCAAATTAAAATTAAAATTGTCGAAAATTTGAAGGAAAGTATCAAATTTTACCGTTTAATTTTTTGATGGACTGGCGTCATTATACTGACATCATCACACTGCTGCTCTCTGACGTTGTTGTTGTTGTCAGTTGACTGGGCATGCCACGTGGGTTGCAACTGGGGCTAGGGCCCACCACTTTCAGCCTTTTTCTTTTCTTTCCTATTCCCAATATGCCATTTTCCAGAACGAATTGTAAGCTGTAACCATGTCATTCTTTGCTATTAAAATAATAATAAAAATAATACAAGTATTTTTCTTCGGGTTCCAACTTACAATCTCTCATTAAAATATGTACCTTAATCTGTTCAAATTCACGATATAAATTTTAAAAGTTGGTAATCTACCGTTAACTTAAATGATAGAAATGTATTTAATTTTTTGTCATTTACGTTAAATGTGTTGGACATCAACCTGAAAACCTAACATTTTTATTATATTATTAAAAAATCGAAAAATATGAAAAAATATATATATCTCAGAGTAGCAATTCTTTGATATTAACGAAGTACATTTGGTTTGAAAGAGAAAAAAAAGGTAGCCTAAAGACCTAATAATTTGAAAAGGTTAAATTACAATTTATAAACTCTTTAGGTATATCAAAGCCAACCCTTTAAAAAGTTTTTTAATGCTAAAATTTCAAAGTTATAGCTATATAATAAGTTTTTGTTTTTAATTCAATTTATTTACATGTTTGAACTTGTCTGAAATTAAATTAACGTATCATATATTATAATATAGTCATCCGACCATGTAAATGTTAAACTAACAAAATTAACGATAGAGGAGTACTAAATATAAATTTTAAAGTTCAAAAATTTATTAGAAACATTTTAGGATTAGATAAACACAACTCTATAGTTTCAGTAACAAACTTTTTAATTGAATCAAGAAAATATATCAAGACGATTCTATATTGGAGACAAGAGAGAAGCAAACCAACAAGAACCCGATTAAGAAAGTGGATAAGTTTAGCGATTCTCGTAAGCTAACGAAAGAGACATAGAGAGCCCAGAAGCTAGAGAGAAAATATCAAAGAAAAAAGACCCCACAATATATCAATGCAAATGCAAATTTGTCATCAATGACTAAAGTTGAACTATTGAACTAGAGTGTTGGGACCAATGTGATTGAAATGAAATCCTTAGGTAACCTTAAACATATCTAAACATCTTTCAGTTGCAAGTCCTTCATTCCAAAACGTTTGATAATATTCAGAATAAGAAAAGTTTCTATACACGGCTTCATGTTCATTGTTGAGTAGCTCCTTGATCGGCCCGATCACTGCCTCCGGTGATGGACAGTAAAACGTCGGTATCGATATTCGCTCCTTTGTGCTATTCACAACAGCCCGATGAAGCACGCTCTTGTACTTGTCATTACTCAATGCCTGAGCAAAATAATCAAATAGAAAATACACTTTCAGACAATTGGTGGATGAACTTGATAACAATTTGTTTCTTATAGGTTCGGTGGATCTTAAAAAGGACACCACCAACCTATTAGGTACAAGATTAAAAGCTCTCACATCTATTAGACACTTTCAAAGTACAAAAATATATTATACACAAAATCGACTTACACATATTAGACACAGTCTTAAAAGTTCAAAAACTAAACTCATCATTTTAACAATTTTGTTATTAAACAAACTAATATCAAATTATATGCTTCTAATAGTTATGCTAAACAAATTAATATTAAACATATAGACGATGTTAGTTACCTGCATTTGGTCACCAATGTTGATGATAAAGGTGTTCGGGATGGGGTTTAGGGCGACCCAAGCACCGTCGCGAAGGACTTGGAGGCCGGGAACTTGGTCTTGGAGGAGGAGAGTGATGAGGTTGGGATCAGTATGGCCGGGCAAGCCATAGGTGAGCTCTGGTTGTGGACATGGCGGATAGTAGTTGAGGGCCATGTGCTGACCATGGCTCCCAATTGAATTAGTTATGGAGTCTTTTGGCAACCCTAAACTCTCTGAAATGGCTTCGAGTAGGTTTAGTGTCAACTCTCTCACACTGGTGCAGTACTCGGCCACGTATTTTCTATATAACATAAGTGAAGCTAAAATGATATTACAACAAAAAAGAATGTATATCTTTTGAGTTAGCACCAAGTTTATCTTGTTTCTTTCAGAATTGGTCCTCTAGCTTCTATGTAAAGAGTCTTGTTAGACTTCCAGGTGACTACTAATGGCTTTATTATTATTAGTCAAAAAGACTTCTTGGACATATTCCTCAAAAATCTAGGGCTAAATTGTAGCTTTTTAAAATTCATGCCAAAATAATATTATAAGTAAAATTCGAAAGACCAAAAATAGTTCTTACTATATATTAAAAAAAAAAACTAAATAATAATTAAAAAAAGTTATCAAGAGCTTTAGATATTCGATTTATAATTAATTCAAAAAGTACTTACGTGAACTTCTTAAGTTGATTCGGAGTGTTAAAAAATTAATATGTAATAAATTTAATTTCTGAAATTAAAAAAAAAGTTATATCAAGAGCTTTTTGACATTCGATTTTTATTCTATTCAAAAAGTACTCACGTAACCTTTTAAATAACGAGTTGTAATTGAAACAGTTTTGGAAAGTGAAAAGAATAAAATACTAATAGATTTAACTTTTAAAATAAAAAATGTTATCAAAAGCTTTAGATATTCGATTTTTATTTTATTCAAAAGTACTTACCTCGTGTAATCTTTTAATAAACTAATTGTAATAGCTTTTCAATAACAATTTTAAAAAATTAGTTAAGCACTTGAGATTAAGAATCAATTCTTCTGACTAATTGTGATTAGTTTTTGAATAATAATAAAAGAAATAGTTACCACTTGAGATTAAGAATCAATTCTCTTGATATCGATGAGTAGCACCGTTGTTACACGTAGAAATAGAAATTCGAATTCATAAATACTTTGAAAATAGGTGGCTTGACCTGATTCATATAAAAATAAAATAAAATCTCAATTTATTAAAGAAAGAAAAAAGAAAAATCCTGTTTAATATGATTTGTTACCTAAATAAACATTTGATTTAATAAACATCGGAGATAATTGCCCGAAGGAGGTTAACTTAGAATGATCTGAAAAGACATAATGGATGATGGGAAGGTGTTACCTGAAGGATGGTGGATTGGAGGGCCAGTCATGAGCATAAAGCTCCACAGGGTAACAATGGAGTCTCAAGAAATCTCTCCAGTTCGATACTTTCTCTGTCTTCACATTGAAACTCGTCGACAGCCTCGTCGTTTTCGTCGGATCTTCCGAATAGCTCTTCATTCTCTCACTTTCCGGCAGCCGGAAAAATTCCCGGGCTAACCCAAGTATTCTGCCGATCATCTTCTCCGGCACCCCATGGTTCTTCACCTGCTCTCAAACACCAATTCATCCATAATTATATTCCTCCTAATTATTCAAATTCTCTATTTTAAGGCAACTAAGTGGTACATATATCTCCTGGGACGGAGATTTATTTGAAGGGTGTTTTTGTATAATTGAAGTCATTGTAACTACTTTGAACACAGTGGTGGGTTCTTTTGTTTTGGACGGTGGTTTTTCTTCGATTTGGAATCTTTCCCGTATAATAATCTGGAGCGGATCTATGGATCGAGCGAGCCTCTCAATTTTGGAAAACTTTCTATTATATACTAAATATGTTAACAGAATTCTCCTTTGGTTCCGTGGGCACTGGGCATGCACTCAAGCTCCATAATATTTAATTACTTTTAAATGGTGTAACCACCGTCCTACTATTTTGAATTTGAAAAAAAGGCTTTTTTTTTCGATTCATGCGCATATATTGTTGTCCTTTGATCCATTTCAAAGGTTTATAAACTATAGCTTATTTTATTTATAAATTCATGAAATTAGATATTATTAATTATTTTTAATAAAATTTAAATAAAGGTCGGCATCAAAAATTCTAAACCTTTGATAAGAATGGAAAATATTTTACTCGGTGAGGACCAAATTCTGTCCTCATCACCGTTGAGAAATTAACAATTGGATAAATTTTTATAAAAGATTTTTATTTTTGTATTTATCTCTCTAGGTGTTAAACATACTACAAAGGGACGACAAAGACAAGATTGGTCATTACTCCTAGAGGAGTTAAATATTGAAAAATTACCCCTTAAACAATCTCGTACTTCCCACCCACCATTAAAGAGTCAAGTTTTTTTTAAAGAGTCAAAGTTTTTTTAAAATATTTTTCAATAAAAATACTAACCTGCATTCTAAGCTCCTCGTAAGAAAGTTTAATGACTAAAATAGATACGAAATCTAAAAGTACAAAAACTTGATTACCAGAAAGAAACCGTCGTGTTTGCAGGCGTGTCCGATTTGTCGAAGGATATCGGGACGGGCAGGGCCGTGGAGGCCTTGGAGGTCAATGAGGGGGAAAGAGGAGCCGTCCGACGATGGTTGGTGGACGTCGGAGGAGTTGGGACGATCAGAGACGGGCCGAATGAATCGGGAAGGGAGGCAGGTGATGCCGGAAGCGGCAAGATCCGCCAGAAGCACCTTGGGGGTGGCGGCCATGACTGCACTTCAAAATTTAGCCAAAATTGGTCACACCACACAACAGCTCTGCAACTCCAATGGCTAACAAATCCTCCCTCCAATTCACTTATATAACAACAATATGCCTATGCCGCGTGTTTCCTGTGCTGATGTCATGTTTATTACGTCATCCTCTCACATGTGTCTCCAATTTTCCGTGGCCTAATTGGTTGGGAAGGAGAAATCTTTTAATGCCACTCATTATTATTATTCTTCCACCAATATTTACCTCATGTTTTCAACCTGGTCCAATTCCAAATCTTTGTTGTAGATATTTTTTTTCTAGAAAAATATATATCGGACATGAGATAAGGATTCTTTTATTTATATATATTTTAAAAAAGAAAAATTTACTACTTCCTTGAATAGGTTTCTTTGATCAAATAATTGGTCAACTCTCCGAAGGTCGAACACACAAAAATCTGTAGAGATAGAGATAATGATATGACACTAAGTTAGTTTGAGAAAGGATAGTTTCACGTACCTGAGAAGTGAGGCAGAACTACTCTTTATTTATAAAGTTTGGTTTCAAACATCGTTTGGAGAGTGGTTGTGACCGTCTCGAAAATTGCAACATATAATCGAAAAAGTGGTTAAAGGGCAATGACATATGATGTTGTTATTCTTTGATCGACCGTTTAATAAAGTTCCAAACGACCAATAATATTCTTATTGGCTCGATTAAGCAAGTTAGTCAATCTCTTTCTTTTTCTTCGACATATTTAACCTTCTGACTACGTCAATTATGATGACTCAGTATTTTCCAACCGAGAAAAAGAGCTACCGCCCATTCCAATATTTCGATTGTTGATACGTAAGTGTCCGAAAACTCACTTTTCGACTTAAATGGCTATTGTTCAGTTGTTGAGTAGTAAGTATTTTGTAAATATTTTCTTTAAGGCTTAAGTAGCAAAATTTTAGGTTTTTTTATTTATTATTATTTGACATTTAAAAAATTTGAGGAGAAACTTACCTATATTCCTACAATGATGGAGGATACCAAGTTTTCAAGTCTTTACTTTTTGATAGACGTACATAAATTATTGTTCTCACATACATATTATTGATTTTTCTATCTCTTAATCAAAGTGAGACTTTGAATTACACTCTCTTACCATCAATAGAAAATAGAACTATAACTCATGTTAAGTTCATCCAATTATAAAGGATTGTAATGAAAATTTTAAAATTATAGGGATCAAATTTAAATAGTTAAACTATATTATTGAAAGAAGAAAGAGACAAATCAAACTCTAAAAAATATTATCCTTGAAAGTGGTGGAACAATGAATTAAATAAGTTTTTAATTAATGTTTTAAATTGACCACGAAATGAAGTCCAGGAAAATATCCTACGATATTACTTTTAATATTTGATTATACGTAAGCAAGGGGTTAGACGGCTTTAGCTTACTGATTTATGAACTTCTTTACGCATTCATTATTTTTCCAAAAGCGCAAATTATTTATTGACAAATCACTGGCGTTGGATTCTCATTTGGGTGACACGTCATCACAAATTTGAAGTAGATTTCTAATTAATCAGAGATAGTATAGAACCTAGCATCGTTATACTACTCAAGCATTTTGAAACTTAAATTAGAACTTCAGCTATAGAAGTGGCAGTTGAGTTTATAAAAACTATTTGACTCCACACTTGACCGGAAGAGAATGTTGAGACGTCCATATCTATATCTTTTACGAGCTATATGAATCTCTTGGCAGTAGAATCAAAAGATATTTCGCAGACGAACTATACTCCATGTAAGAGCCGAGCATTGCATAGTGTGATATGGGTCTTTGCTCCTTGACTCGACTGCAGCCAAGCCTACACTCCATAACAAGAGTGGGTCACGTATCACTCTCAATTTTTTTCCATAACAAATTTTTATATCCAATAATAAGTTATAGATTTAGCTGTTTTGAAGTTTTATTTTAAAAATAGCTCAAGTCTCCGGAGGTGGGAGGATGAAATTGGCGTAACCCACTCTATTATACTTGAGAAAAGGAGAAGAAGTTTTGCTTTTAGGGGACAGTTACCATAAAGTGGATAAAATAAAACATGTATTTTCAAATATTAAATATCATTTAAAAGTTAACAAAAATAACATGTAATGTAAAGCACATTATAAAAAAGTCAAAATTAAACCATATTTGAGCAAATTCATATTTCCAAAAATACATATGAAATTTATACAATAATTTCTCTGATGTTTTATCTCTAGTCTCTAAATTTTTAAATTTAAATTACTTGATTAAATATTCAATGCAAGAAATACATTTCATATCCCCACCTACTTAGCCAAGCTTTTGTTCTGTGCATTGCTGTCACATGCTACACCAAATCATCAGATTTAAGTAATAACATTAATAACGAAAGAAATCATTAAACTTTTAAAATCGTCTAATAAATTAAATAATCGATTTTAAACCGATAATTTTTTTGCATCCAGAGGTCGGCAATGATTCTTTGAATAGATAAAGAAGAAGGCATTTCGTTTATAGCGTGTAGTCGGCAATACTTATTTTATTTTATTTTATTTTTATGGAAAAGAAAACACGACTTTATTTCACTTATCGTTTATTTAACGTCAAATAAAGTGGCGCCACGATACGACTTGATTACGCCTTGGTCGTCGTTGACGGTGCCGTGCCGCTCAATTTAATTTTGCATTTTTATTTATTTTTTTGTTCTTCTTATCCTGCGGTCGGCAAATCAATTTATAATAATAATAACTAAAAACAAAAAACACCGTCATGATGTCAAGAGGATGCCACTCCTCGTTCGAATCCCTTCAAATTTAAGTTCAGAAACTATTCTCCTCTATTTTTATCCAAGTGAGTAATAATTTAAGAACGGTTGTAATCAATTTCGTTCTTCGTTTCTGAATTTCGAGAAATGTTTTAAAAAAAGAATCAATTTTTGACAACTGTCCATGCAAAGAAATATACGAGGTCAAACTTCGGTCAAGATCGAACTCGGTCCTAACTCCGACTTGGATCACAACAGAAAAATTTGTACAAGAGGACAAAATCTCCGACGTTCAAGTTAGTAAGTAGTTCAAATTACAATATTATGTTTGAGGAGAAATTCGATCACTAGTATTTGAAATGACCCCCTATTTATAGGTTTAGGCTCCAACAGAGGTTACGACTGGCGGTTACCTTGGTCGGAGTTAAGGTCGAACTTGTCGAGTCACGCAGGTCGAACCCAGATATTTTTACCTATGATATTGCTAGTTTAGCAAAAGAGATAACAGCTAAGTCTTCCACCTCAGAAGGGGCAGGCAGCCTGAATATTTAAATGGAAATATATCTTTTTGGCAAACCACTGTCCTCCACGTGGCAATTTGATTTCCTTTCCTCCAACAACAACTATAAAAAATAATTTCATTTTCTTGTTTATGTTTCTTTATTTTTGTGTCTAGACGTTACTTTAAGTTAAATATACGTTATGTCATATGGTGTAGAATTAAACAATGCTTTGATGGTGCATGAGTTTTTCTTAATTCTATTATCCTCTACTAAATCTAGAATTTACGAGTTGGAAATAAGCGGACTTGAACTATTTTGTCTAAGAATTACGTGGAGTGGAGTAAGGTTGAAAAGTCTCCCCCAATATTCATAGGAAGAGTTTAAAAAATGCAATTTATTATTCAACTTTTCTAAATTACTATTTAACTTCTAAGTCCATTCTCATATTATCTCTGCTCTCTTTCTTTAATAGGCTCCACATACTTAAACATCTATGTTCTCCTCTTTCTCTCTTCCATCGTAACATGGCCCACCCTCTACCTCCTCTCTTTACATAAATTTGAGATTGGGTAGGTCTATTGGATTTGTAAGGAGTACAAACAAAGTCTCAAATTGACTGGAGAAGTGAATGATCATGGGTATATAAGAAAGAACAATTATCTTCATTGCTATGAGGCCTTTTGGGTGAAACGAAAAAGCAAAGTTGTGAGCGTTATGCCCAAAGCGGATAATATCATACAATTGTGGAAATACGTGGGGTACGAGTGGTACCGTTGTCCTTAACAAGGTGTAACGCATGTAACGCCTCACTAGAGAGGACGTACTAGGACTCGTGTGAGGTGCCAAATCCTAGGCTTTGGGCCTTACACAAGGTCTTGCACTTACTTTCTTTCTCTTTCCATAAATTTGGTTGGTTTCACAATTTCTCTATCTTTTTTTTAAAGCACTAAAAGAATTTATAGTTTTGAATCTTATCGATGTTTTTCAATACTTCTCCTGATGCTTTTTAATAATCGTCAGACGAGGTCTATTTCTCTCAACGTTTTTAAAATACATTGGGAGAAGTAGACTAATATAGGCAAGCTAGCCATCTTTTCCTATACTTACTCATGAGAATTCGAGCTTAACAGATTAGTTTCAGACAGATTTCATACCTTAGTGGGTGGAGTGAAAGTGTATTTATAGGGGGTTTGAGGAGTAGTTACTCATCCCATCGGAGAATTTCACTGTTTTGGGGTCAGGTGACCTGCTATGGATCATTGGTCCGTGTTGGTCCCTGGATTTATCCTTGTCTTGGAGCATGATACTTGGAAGGTTCTCATCCACGTCTAAGTAACCGGGGCCGAGCTCTGAGGTCGGCCTATGATCCTTCAAGAACAGCTCGGCCTACGACAGTTTGCCCTTCAACCTTGAACTATCGATGGAACCGCATGACATCAAAGCTTGTCCTTTAGGAGCTCGGCTGTGGATAAACTTAGAAGCTCTTCCATAGATTAGGTTAAGAGCTCTACCTAGATGGACTTAGGATATCTTCCGTAGATGGACTTAGGAGCTCTTCCGTAGATGAGCTTAGGAGCTCTTCCGTAGATAAGCTTAGGAGTTCGGTCGTAGATGAGTTCATGAGATTAGCCGTATATGATCTCGCCACGTGGTAGATCATATTTTTGCCCCCTACACTTAGGATCATAGTTCGATCCTTACCTGCCAAATAAAAACAAAGGGTAAGAAAATTCCAAATGGAATCAAAGGATTCAAAATAAAAAATGTCGGACATTTCAAATGAGAATACAAAATTTCACTGCTAAATTTAACAAGTTGTATCAATTTTTACTCTAAAATTTTAATTTTATCGAATTAAATCTCATATGTGTGGAAAGTTTTACCCTCTATGCAATTTTTTGCTAATTCACTTTCTAATTCTAACAAAATCAATGTAATAATCTTTAAAAATTCACTAATTTCAATGAATTCAAGCTTTGGCACAAAATTAAGTTTGATAATGGAACAAAATCTACAATTGAATTACTCTCTTAAAACTCAAATAATGTCGTTTTCTATTTCATATCAATTTCTCACTAGATATATGTTTTATAATTCTAGACACAATAGGGGTTTGAACTTGAATTGTGAGTGTGTCAATATTCAAGCCTGTTGCAGCCCAAGGTGCATGTATGTTTTATAATCCATTTAACATATAAAAATATTTTTTAACTGTTATTTAAATAAAAACTCATTAGAAGGTAAAAATTGTAACACCATTTCAAATTTAAGGTAACAATAGCAATATTCATCTAAATTTAAGGTACAATTCAACCAAATTGAAAGTTCAAGATAAAAATTTATCTTTCAACAACTTTTAATTATTTTATATAAGTATACCTAAAAATATAATGTTGAAGAAGATTTCAACTCATGAGTTCTAAAAAGAAGAGGCATATTTAAGATAATAGTACAAAGGGGGAGAGAGTCCTTGACTCAGACATCGAGTAGGAGCAATATAGCCCACGTGCTCGACATTAAGATTAAAGGAATATGTAATCGTGGTCATACATAATTTTATCAAATTGACCCAATCCATCGCAAAAGCCAGTTTTAACATAGTGCATTTCAAACAATTTCATTCGATCTGATCATAGGCCTTAATCATATACAGTTTAAATGTTACCCAACCACTCTTCCGCCAATTTTTAATAAAGTTGACTCATCCGTAGTCTGAAATTGTATTATCCACGACACACAATTCGAGATAAACAATCAAGAATAGGTCATCTCATCTTGTTCACAAGAGCCTTAGAGATCAGTTTGTAGATCAGGTGTCACATATAACGAAAATAACGGCATGAAATACGTATAATTCAAGACATTATCTTGAAAATTGAAAAACCTTTCAATTTATCATTTATGAAAGGTATTTTCGGATCCGCCCTTACAGGACGTCATGCATACTGACGTCACAACGCTGACGCTCTGTGACATTACTTGTGTTGTCAGCTTCTGGTATGCCACGTGTGGGGTGGAACTGAGGCGGGGGCCCACCATCTTTAATTGACCTATATGTGTGTGTGTGTGTGTCTAATTATTATTTTGGTAAATTACCAATTAACTTGTATTAAGAAAAAATTAACTTGTATACGGATTGTCGCGATATACATGTATTTTTATTTTGTTATATTTGTAATTATTTTTTAAGTTATACGTTTTGCAATATTTTATGTAATTTTTTTTTTTAGTATAACATGTCGGGAAAGAGATTCGAATTCTCAACCTCTTGATTGGAAGTATATACATATTACCGTTGAGCTATGCTCACTTTGACCAATATTTTATGTAAATTGTACTAGGATTTAAGGTATTGTTTTATAATGCTCATGTTTGTTGTTTCTGTTTTTTATTTTTAATAAAGAAAAATGAATTTCGTAGTCCTAACATCCAAATATTAAAGTGTAATAAAATAATTTTTTTATTTATGTTTTAGAAAAAATTGGAAATGGAAACAAGAGAGAAGAAATTTGTTTTAGTTGTTTCCAAAATTTCTATATAATTTTAAAAATGTTCTTGAAAAAAGAGAAATAAGAAACATAGTTAGTTACAAAATATTTAAATTTCTTAAGAAAATTGGAAATGAGAAACAATAAATGGAAAAGTTACCAAATAACCCTAAATTACCTCTTTTCATGTTATTTTTTAAAATTTGTTTTGAAAAATTGACTTAGTTCGAAAATTTGAAAATATTAAGACTTATTCAATATTAAAAAAAAAACTTAAAGACTTATATATTAGTGAACTTTATTTTTTAGTAAATATTAGAATGATTTTTGAAATCTTAGCAAGTTTTCAAAACTTAAAAATAATAATAATAATTAAGTTAGTTAACCTAAAAGATCATCTAAAGAACTTTTTAAAATTAAAAATCTAAAGTTAAGAATGATTCGTGAACAATTTAAAAAAAAAAAGGATATTAACAAGCATGGTTATGGGTTTAAAAACCTATTTTATTTTTCCCACCCCACTAAAAAAAGAAAAAGTCTATTCTATTTTTAAAAATTTGAGTTAAAATCAAAGAATATATTTAAAAAATGAAAAGCAAAAGCCAATGAAATCCAGTAAATATTTCCTTTTTCAACAAAATGTTATACTCTTTAGTTTCTAGATTTGTTAGCTAAAGTGTTTTAGAGTCCAAGGGTATTATTACATTACAAAAAAGAGATATAGTTATTTTACTCTAATTGGTTGTTTCCACATTACGTGATTAGGATATTTATATGATAAGAATGGTACTTAGAAAAATCAACTCCATCTTAATCCACTCATTAACCTTTTTTTTATTCTTATTTTAGTGATTCTTTGCTTATCTGGTATAGTAGATCTTACACCATATAATGCACTCGATATATATTCTTTTTCTTTTTTTTTTTCTTTTTTTTTGACAAGATATTTTAGAAAAACTCTAATAAACAAATATCTTATCTAGTATAATGCTTCTTAGATAAACTCGAAAACTTTTAATAATGCTAAATCACTTACAATAGACTTATAAAAAGAAAACAGAAATTATTGGGAAAAAAAAAGAGCCATTAGGTGGCTAGAAAGAAGAGTAATATCATAGACTTTTGTAAGGCGTTTTTGGAAGTCTTGATGAAAATATTTATTAATTTTAAAAAAATACCCTTTTCAATAAAAAAAAAAGAAAAAAAAAAAGAAAAAGCTAGAAAATTTAACAAAACCAAACTAATACACTAACCATCAGTCGCAAGAATCTCCTACATGGACTAAAACAATCGCTCAAATTAGAAGTAATTCACGAACAAATCTGATAAAAAGACTGGAGTCTATTTTTCCTTTTATATCTGTACGTCCGGACAACTTTGTACACACCATGACCAATCACGGGCCAACCACCTAATCCTACTAAATTTTGTTAACAAGAAAACTTAGATATTAAATCCTAAATAGGCAACCACCATGATTTAAACTCATTTCCTGTAAGTCCAGTAGGACAATATTTAAATTGACGTACTAAAATGAGAATGGGGTTCAAACTTTTTCACTAATCACCACGAATGGCAAATTATATCATCTTCGAGTTAGCTATAGTTAAAGACAAAATGACATGAAATAAGAATACATACAAGGGTATAGTCGTTGTAGGGAGTTTTAAAATGACTTTATACATATAGCTAAATCGATACATCTCCCTCACGAAGGGCTTCTTGGAAAAATATATCAATATATTAACAAGTCTTAATTGAAATTAAAAGTGATTCACAATTTTGATTAAAAGATAGAGCAAATCATGGCTCAAAGCTTGCTTCATAAAGTTGATTTATATTTAATTTAATGGTCGTCCACTAAAGGAAATGAGTGGTGTTCGCCATAGTTAAAAGCCAAAATGATATGGAAAAGGTATTGCTTATATCAAAAATGTGCATCTCCATATAGTTTCGATTATCTCTCTAACAAGGCTACTGTTAAAATGAAATCAGGGGCTTATTGGGACTCAAAAACTTTTTTCGAATCACAATGAGTGGCAAATTATATCTAGAGCATGCATAATTAAAGGAAAATGACATGGAAAAGGTGTTGCAACTAAAACTGTATATTTCCCATATTGCTTCAGTTCTCTTCAACAAGGCTAAGGCTATTGTCATTGTAGATCAGAAGTAACAGATGTCATAAACATAAACATAAACATCTCCCCAATGGACTTCTTGGAAGAAGAGACCAACATTTTAACTATTCTCATCGGACAATCACTTGATATTTGGTTGACGAACAACCAGAAACTCGTTGGATCTTTTAGAACCTAAGAACCTTATCATTTTTTTTTTTTTTGGAAACATCTCATAAAAACAAAGATGCAAACACTGTGGCTCATATTCATTGACAGGTTAGCAATGCAAGAGGAAGTTAGGTAGTTGCTGCTCCTAACATAACCACAGCACCAGCTAGGTTGAGCTGTAACTAATAGCTCAGCCCTGACATGGTAAAAGGTAATGTAATAACCCCAATTGAAGCATTTTAATTGAGAAGAAATGAGAGTTTAATTCACCAAAGTTCACATGTCAGTAAATCAAGTATATGGTACCAAATATTATCTATAAGCCTCAAATCAAAAGTATGCCTCCTAGCCAAAGATGTACTAGAGCTGGAAAACAAATATCAAACGAGGAATCTGAAAAAAAATTGTAGGTTGCCAAAGATACCTCGATCTCCTCCTAATATCTCAGCAACCTTTCAGTGCGGTGTCTTAAACAAGGCTTTACTGACGATGCTGGTGGCCTCAATGTAGCGCTCCATGCACCTGGAGATGCAACTGCTCTCGCTCCCACTTAGGCTCGACCCTGGCTTTGTGATACACTTATCAAAGCACTTCACTCTTAAGGTCTGCACGAAAGTATGAATGAGAAACTCGAAATCCTCCAAATCGAGGAGAAAAATTCAAGAACCTAATCCTAGGTGAGAAAGCTGTTCGTGAATCTTTCTGTTGGAAAGATTACCCTTTAGTTTCATTTGGATAAAAAATTTAATTTTCATTGAGAAAAATTAAAGAATAGAAAAGTGCCATACAAAAAGGAAAGCGCAGAATATGTGGAGACACTTTTATTTCATCAATCGCAACTATTATCAAGAACTATGAAATGGTACAAGGTGCATAATACGGGTCAAGGTAGAATGACTGAGCAATTTGGCATTACCCCAAAATGATAAAAAAGTGTGAAAACTTAATCTGAGGGTTATAGTGAGCCAGACACTAGATTTTGAATATTTTCGGACAGAAAACTCCTTTTTTTTCCAATCAACGCAACTATACTTTTATATAATTAAATATCACCAAGTACACAAGGTGCAAACTGCAAAGGAACCAGCAAACACAGCAACGAGGTACTGAAGTTTGAAGGGGTGACTAGGCCCTTCTTGACTAAATTGTCCAAAGGGTTGGAAACCTCACCCGCTCCATTCACTTAATTTTATATTTGTGTCTCCACCTTACCTTCACCCATCTATATCCTTCTCATAACCATCAAGCTCACCAGTAGTATCCCTCAATGAGTCTCTTTCTACACAAAACTGTCAAAAGTAATTTGGTTGACTACTACAGAGCAATCTTGATAATCTTCAATTCCTGAAGAAAAGAAAACTTGTGCCATCCCTGCAAATGAAGGTCATTCCAGTCCCAATAATTATGAGGGGGAGTATAAAGAAGGATGTTGCAGCCAGTAATGCTCAAACCTGAGGGGAGGCAGACCCAACTGAAAGACCCTATTTTGAAAAGGAAGTGAGGATCAAAGATAGTTCTAACATTCTGGGTCCCTAGAGTTCTGAAACTTAAAACCTACCTCACCTAAATGGACACAAGAAATCTATCTACAAGAGTGAGGAACACAAGTGACATTTCAAAGTATCTAGAAAAATTGAAATCACCCTATACATCAACATCCTTTAAATGCCCACATCAGCACTTTATTTCAAGATGAACGGGCCAATAAACTCCAAAGACCCAGAAGCTATCTCTAACAGCCAAGGAGACAGTTTTTTTGGATAGGAAACAAATTTCATTCATAGCATGAAATATACAAAAAGCCCTATCCAATGGAGTTACAAAAAACTTCCCCAATTGGATATTAGAAGACAATTTTTTTTTTTTTTATAGAAACTCTCTCTCATTGCAGATAGCAAAAATGTCACCTGTAATGCCTAAAGTGTAAATGAAAGTCCAACAACCAATGCCCATGGAATTCCATAGAGACTTAACAGTTCACCCATCCACTTAATAGAGCTTCAACTCCTAGGAAAGACCAAATCAGGGTTATTCTGTCTAATCAAGTTCACAATTAGGCCTCTCTTTTATAGGTCCTAGATTCAAACTTTCAAAAGAGAAGATTTTTCACAAGTGCAAAAACACTTCCAAAAAAAAGAGTTGAGACTTTGATCATAATTGACATGACATAAAAAATGAGATGGGTTGCCGTTAGCAGTTATTGGGAGCTGGGACACAAGAAGGGTCGTTGTACTCTAATGAACAGCAGGAATCGCAACCCTTACCGCCTTACGAACCTGTTACGGCTTTGAGGAAAAAAAAAATTGTGTATCCGGACTCGTTCAAAAGGGGACAGCAAGCAAAAGGAATATAGTAAGGAGTTAAAAAGTTTGCTGAATTCCTAGGAAAAAGTGGCGGAAGAGAAGAGTAGCTCAAAGGAAAATGGCATTTCAGTTCCCAGATGAAGGTCTTCTCCTGGAATGTTAGAGGTTTAGGAGCTCTTCCTAAAAGAACTCTAATCAAAGATCTAGGTAAAATCCAGATGTGGTGTTTCTTCCAGATATGAAACTTAGCAGTATGAACAGGCGGATTGTTGAGGAAGTTTGGACTCTGGAGTTCAAGGAACATAGGCTGGGTTGCGTTAGACGCAGTGGGCTCCTCCACATGCATCTTGCTGATGTGGAATGAGGCAAGTATTATAGTTGCAGACTCCATTTTAGGCACTTTCTCTATCTCCATCTGTTCTCAGTTTAATAACAACATTAACATCTAGTTTTCTGGTGTGCATGGACACACTTATACTTATTTTCGTTCTGATTTCTGGCAGGAGATGGCAGACTTGGCTGGTTTATGACAGGGTAGCTGGTGTACTGGGGGGATGTCAACATAATTAGGAGGATATCTGAAAATCTGAACGAGGCCAGTGTCAGTCAGCATGAGGGCCTTTAATTCCCCAATTTCAGATCTGCAGATTATTGATGTTTAGCTTCAGAATGGCCTCTTCATTTGGTCTGTGCATATAGAGGTTGTCTGATTGACTCCAGGATTGATAGATTTTTATTCTAGAGGGTTAGCAAATAAATTTAGAGAATTTTGGCTGGATAGAATTACAATATCTACGTTTGACCATTTCCCGCTTCTTTTAAAATTGGGTGCTCAAAATTGTGGTTTAATCCCTTTCCATTTTGAAAATGTATGGCTGGATTCCCCTCCGTTCCTGGAAAAAGTAGAAAATTGGTGGTCTACTTTCCATGCACATGCTGAAGAAGGCTGACCTGGTTTTTTATTCATGTAGAAGCTAAATGGTCTGAAACAACACCAAATTAGGTGGGATAAGAAGGGGCCTAGATTGTTTACCAGAACCTCTAGAAATGATTTCTAATCTTTTGCATCCACCTTCATGAACACTTCCTCATGTTTTAGTCTTAAGAAATACTGAGGGAAAAAAAACTTCTAGCAATTAATGTCAACTTCAACAGAAACAATAAGGCCTCTATTATATAATTCGTTAAATGCACGACCTCATGTTAAGCACCATTTATAAAGGTTCACAAAATTTCTTTTGGAAATTTTGATCATCCTACTTCCTACCTCTCCTCATCCAAAACAATGGAATAATAAAATTTTACATTCCATCCTACACTAGCAAATCAAGTTAGACAACAAAAATACAAGACACTTGCAAACTTATAATCACCAAGATACCTCGATGAAAAATAAATTCGGGAAATAGAGAGCGAGATCAAGTCTTTTAATTCAATATGCATTGTCATGTTAAAAGTTTATAATATAGCACTCGAATCACTAAAGAACTTCCATTCCTTTTTTACATTTCCAGATCTTCAATTAGTAAAAACAAAACATGAGTATAAAAACCAAGTTGAACTGGAATTGAGAAATAAGACATAAGCAATTCCATTGATGTTGGGAATCTTGGGATAGAGTACCCAAGAATCTAAATTCTCAAGAATTCGTATTTATTAATTCTTACACCCCCATCTTTAAAACCCAGCCGCTATTGCTACACGAACAGCACCTATAAATCTACGTCGCTACCAAACTTCGAAACCGCAAATTATTAATTCCTTTCTCCCATTTCATCCACGAACAAAGAACCGTCACATAACACGTAATAGTGAAACGCATTCAACGAACTGACCATATACATATCTGCACATACATATCGGTAACTCTACTAACAAGTTTGATAACGCTTGCGACAAGAGAGGGAAACAAAACAAGTAGGGATAGTTGAACCTCGAGGAACTCCTCGGCATAGGCCTGGGCAAGTTGAGTCTTGAGCTGATCCTTGAATTCATGGGCAGAAAATTGGGAAGAAGGGCCGCTTGAAGGCGATGAAAATGAATCCATTAATCCGGTGCTTGAAAACCCCTATAAACCACTGCCTTTTATGTATTTGCTTGCCCTACAGCGGCTTTTGTTTTCGAGGAAGACGATGGGTGGCTATGGCAATGCAATTAGGGCACCTTTGGTCGGGCGAGAATAGGTTTCAAAAATCTACTCACTATTTAATTTAGGTTAGGTTAAAAAATTTTGTATTTTATTTTGTTCTCTATTATTTTACTAGTTACGATTTAATATTGGGTTTGGATTTTATTCTAATTTTTTTTCAAAGGTAAATAAATAAAACGGAGATCTCATGGCCCGAGATCAAGACACAACACCCACCGAACAGACACAAGACAAGAAAATAAAGAGTAAATCAAGAAAACAAATCTCAAGCCGAGATAAACATAGGATCAGATCTCAAGCAGCAACTCCCAAGTCAAGTAGTACAACGAAAATAGATCTCGACTTTTAAATGTGCAAGAGGGCAGAAGGCGATCGGCCCACCCTACCTCACCCCATCAACTCTAGCATTATGCTTCCTCCAAATAAAGTAAACAATGGAAGTCCATGCCAAACGCTACATAGGACGACGAGCAGACTTCCCAGCACTAATGTGACAAATCTAAGTAAGCTCAGTAGACCAAAACCCGATGAGATTTGGTTCTAATTTGATTCCTCTAGTTTAATTTAAATTATATTTTATGGACCTATCCAATTTCTTTTATTTTGCTTATTTAATACTAAACTCTTATATAGTCAGTCCAATAGAGTTAGTCAACCAATAGAGTTAGTGAAAGGCAAAAAAATTTGTCAATATAATTACAACATGGGATTTGTGAAGCTCCAGATTATAGAGATGTGATTGTAGACTCAATTGAAACTTTTAAAATTATAAGAATCAAATTGAAATTTTGCTCAAACCACCTCGACTAGTAACTTTTTTTTAAACAAAAATATCAAAAGTTACGAATACAAATTGAGAGGATACGTAAGGTTCATAATAGATACAGACTATTCTTCTCATTGCCAATTGATTTTGAGATTAAACCCCATGAATATTAATATGGTATTAGAGTCAAAAATCTCAAACGAACATCCGGTCCAAAAATAGGATTCGACCAAGATCGATAAGCCAAAAAGAGCCACCATATTGAGGGACATGTTAAGGATTCCACATTGAAAAGAAATGGGACCTAACAAGGATTTATAATAGAACTACTCCTCTGAGATGGAACCCATGAATATTAATAAATTACTGTATAAGTTTTGCTCCCTCACCTCCATAGACGAGACCCATCATTTTTTAATTAAATGTTTTACATTTTTATTATTTCTTTTTTATTTATACTACTAATAATTTTTATTCTAATAAAAATTTATACAACTTTTATTAGTTGATGTGATTTTATTATAAAATATTACATATCTCTTTTTAATTTTTTAATTTTATTTTGTTATTATTAGTTAATATCAATAAATTTTTTAAAATAAAGTTCATTATTATTAAATATTATAACAATAAATTTTAATAATATTTTATGTTAAATGATGATCCTTCTAGTAATTTTTGTTAGCGGAGGTAATTTATTTCAATTATTTATTATTTGTTAATATTAAATAAATTGTTATAATAAAAAAATTATCCTCAATAAGATAAATTAAAATTAATTATTACTTTAATTAAGAAAATATCAAAACAATGTATTTATAATAAAGAGGTATACTATTAATTTCTATAGAATCATTCTTATTCTAATTCTAGACAATTTTAGTAAACAGTACCAAAAGTTTATGRTTCAAAAAACAATACCAAAAGTTTTTTATTCAAATTCTATAAAATTTATGGTAAATAACATTAAAATTTCGGCCTATCCACCTTTTTATCCGATCGAACTGCTCTACTCTCTAGTTTCACTTTTTTGTCTGATTAAATATATCTTTAAATAACAATATTAACAATAATAATTTATTCGAATCAAAGCAAAAAAAATGTATGGGGTAATTAAAATATTTTAACATTTTGAACTTAAATAAAGTTGGTAAAGTAAATGTGTAACTAAAAATTTATTTAATTTTTAATCCAAGTAATTTTTTTTAATCATTATCACTTTTAATTTAACTTTATATAAATTGCACTTTCATCTATGACTTCATACATTTGTATGTGTATCAACAATTAATCTATTTCAAAAAACTAAATATATGTGAACGTACTTAATTAATATAGTTCACATCGTTAAGAACTCCATAACGGTGCGATATTGTCTTCTTTGGGGTATAATAATTCTCACGGTTTTGTTTTTTATTTCATCCAAAATGTCTCATATTAATAGAGATAATTGTTATCTCTTATATACTATTAGACCAATTTCTTTTTTAGCTATGTGAAACTTTGTTTGCACTCCTTACAAACCCAACAAACATATGTATAATAAGATTAAAACAAATGTGTAATTTTCATGGGCTACTAGGAGAAGTTGTTCAATTAGTAAGGGAAAAAAGAAACTTAACAAGATTGATATTTTTCCCTAAAAAATTTGCTTGTATCTTGTTTCACTATTTTTCTTTACTACATATTATCAACTTAGATATACTTTTGACATTCTTTAGGCATACTCTCATTCATCTTTTAGGTTGTATTTTTACTTCCTCGCTCGTATTTTTTTAGTACTAGAAGATGAATAGTCATGTCCGTATCTTTTTTTCATTTCGCTTTCAATACCAACAGGAACAATACATTATCTATATGTACTTAGTTTAACGGGTTAAAATAATGTGGATTATATATATTATAGTTTTGAATGATTGAATTCATCACCAAACAATGAATTATTTGTGCTCTCTCTCCTCTCATCACTTGATCACTAAAGCATAGTCATTGGTAGTACGGTTCTTTCCTGAATTTTGATTGTTGTATGCTCTTTAACTTTATATGAATGATTGAGTTATGGCAGTGGCTATGGATTGGGCTTTTGGGAAAATCATTCAAGAGAGAGACTAAAGCACATTGAAAATTTTTCAATTTTTTGTTTGAATTTGACTTATGTGCTTTCATGCACTAAATCAATGAAATTGCATAGCTTCTTTTGATCAACTTTGTGATTGTTGGCTTTGCATTTAAATTATTATTTTGCCATTTTAATCTGCTAGGTTTCTAAATATTTTATTAGGATATTTGAGGACTTTTTATCCCCTATATATCGGTACTTGAAAATTTAAATCATAGGGAGAAGAACGATTGAACAAAAGTAATAATAATTCTAAAAAAAATAAATAAATGTAACGTCATAGTGGTTAAACACAAACCCAAATATGTATAAAGATGTTATATTTAATTAGGAGCCACGACCCCATTAGATATTATTTTGAAATTTTTTATTTAAATTATGAGGTCGCGTATAAGTAGTTTTTGTTTAAATTAATTTAATAATTAATTTATATGTGGATAACAAATTAAATAGCAATTATATTTGTGCTATTTAATAGGCATATAAATGATCTTGATTATCGGCGCATGAAGTGGTGTGAACGACTGAGTAGAAACCAGCCCATTAATCTTAGGAGATTATGGGAAACCCTAGAATTAACTTATGTTATGGTTTCCAATATACTGTGCTCCTTGAGCCTCGTTCCTCATCTGCCCATATTCAGTCGGGGTAGTATAATTGAGGAAGACCATAAACTCAATCTATCTAGTGTTCCAGGTAATTTTAATATCTTTGAACATACTGTTCTAGATTTTTTTTTTTTTTTTGCTTTTATTCTAGAATAATTATGAAATATGATTTCTTTCATTTTTCCAATCGTTTTTTCTTCATTAAGCAAATTATGCAATTTTGCACCTTTGAGATTAGTAAAGTTGAGGAGGACACTAATGATTAACAAGTTTTCTTGTGGAAAAATATCTTGTCTTGGATGAATGAAAATTGTTTGTATTTTCTTCGATTCGTTTTTCACTCAAAGAAAGAACTCTTTTGAAATCTTAATCAAAATTTAAAAGCTAAACTAATTTTTTTTTGTTAAAAAAAGAAAAGAATTATTATGGTTTTTAAAAACCTTATCAACAAAAATGTTACTAATATATACTTTTTGAAATGATGAAAAAAGGTTGTAATAAAGAGTGGCCCCCCAAATGAACAATATTCTTTCCGTTAATAGTTCATATCATTTTCAAAAAGTAATTTCAGCCACAATATCCATTTTTATTTTTTTCAGTGAAAACGATAAAGAAATAAAATAGTCACTTTAAAATAATGGCAGAAAGGGAAAAGGGAAAACCAAAAGTGAGATAGAAACTCATTTTGATAGATCACTTAAAGTGCTTAGAAAGATACCACTTAATCGACTTTCAATCAGAATTTTTTTTTTTTTTTTAGAATTCGAACCTTAAATCATTTAAAATATAAAAGTCAAAATTACATTTCTTACGAACATAACTCAGCTGTAGTAACATTTTTTATAGTTTTAAAATTTTTTAATCTTTACTCTATATTTGTAATCCTACGTGGTTTAATAAAAAAAACCACAACCATATTTTACGAACCATAAAAAGAATTTGATATGCATCTATCATTTGATTGACCTCAAAATAAAGCAAACTTGTAATGTGCAACTTTTTTTCCTGTTTTGAACTAAAAAATCTATTTTTTTTTCATAATAGTTTAAATTTATGGTCGATTTTAGTTGATATTTTAATCACAATTGACTTAGTTCTTCAATTAATTTTCAATTTAATTATTTTTACAATTTCATAGTTGAGTTTACTATTTCTATAAGTTTCCACTTCAATAAGGTTTTTTTTTTCAATCAAAATTGAAAATAAACTAACTTGTGATGAGTTAATTTATAGAAATACAAATAAAAGAAAAGGAAGAAAAAGAAAAAAAAAAGGCTTTGTATCAAATTATGGCAAACTCAGTAGAATTAGTTTCGACAGGGTTGATCATATTGTCCACGTTTCTCGGACTCCAAGTGAAAAGGTATTTTTTTTTCTTTCTTTTTTTATTCGGGTGGACCCAAAATATTGAAGTTTCCCATTTTTAAAATTTGAAAATATTTTGAAAAATAGCTTTATATATTTAAATATGTCTTAAAATCATTTTCTTATAATTTATTTGTACATTATGTACCAACTTAAAGTGCACCAGATCT